ATTTTGTAGGGCAGTTCCGTACATAATGGGCCAGTTCTCCACAATAGAGGCATAGGTTGCCCTGTCGGCGGCATTGACGTTCCTCCGGGTGAGTGAGGTTCGTAGCAACCCTATTTGCATGGGTTCAGATTCATCAGTACTGGGTGTGGCAGGACTGGTTGGTGCCATGCTCGCTGGAGGTGGTACCCTGGGTAGCATCCACATGGGGCGAACTTGGCCTGCGGATCTTTCCAACCTTCGTTCTTTAAGTCAGTGGTCAATTTGGATAGCCAGATTAATAAGCTCTTCCAATGTGTTAGGTACTCTGACTCGAGCTAACTCACTCGTACTGCCGCGGCCCGAGGGGATCTGTCGCCGTTGCACGGCGGGAGGATCCCTGACAATGCACAACACATCGAACCTTGAAGCAGATGGGCTACAGCAGCAGAAGACCACAACAGGTGCCACACATGTCGGCTAAGAAAAGGAAACGGAGGCTACAATATGCACAGGCTTACCAAAAATGGACAATAGCAGACTGGAAAAATGTTGCCTGGTCTGATCAGTCTCGATTTCAGCAGCGACATTCAGATGGTAGGATCAGAATTTGGCATTTAAACACCATGAAAGCATGGATCCATCCTGCCTTGTACCAACGGTTCAGACTGGTGGTGGTGTAATGATGTGCGGGATATTTTCTTGGCACACTTTGGGCCCTTTAGGACTAATTGTGCATCGTTTAAATGCCACGGCCTACCTGAGTATTGTTGCTGACTATGTCCATCCCTTTATGAGTAAAGTGTACCCATCTTCTGATGGCTACTTCCAGCAGGATAATGCACCATGTCACAAAGCTCAAATCAACCCAAACTTGTTTCTTGAACATGACAATGAGTTTACTGTACTCCATTGGCCTCCACAGTCACCAGATCTCAATCCCATAGATCACCTTTAGGATGTGGTGGAATGGGAGATTCGCATAATGGATGTGCAGCCGACAAATCTGCAGCAACTGCATGATAATGTCATGTAAATATGGACCAAAATGTTTGAGGAATGTTTCCAACTCCTTGTTGAATCTATGCCACGAAGAATTAAAGCAGTTCTTAAGGTAAAAGGGGGTCCTATCTGGTACTGGCAAGGTGTACCTAATAAAGTGGCTGGTGAGTGTAGATGGTTTACTTGAACCCGACGGCCAGGGGAAGAAACAAATAGCTGCTTGTCTAGCCAGTTTAAGATTTCTAATAACCTAATACGCCTACTACAGTTCATCTAGGATGTTCAGGACATCGTCATTATTGACTGCAACTGCAGAGTCACAGTGTATGCTCATAACTTGCTTTTCCTGGGTACATGTAGGAACTCCCTGCTTCAGCTGATGCAACTTTTCGAAGAATATGGCACCTTACTAAACTTAAAAATAAACTATGTTAAGTCATCAGTCCTGAATGTCAGCATCCCTCTCTTCTCCCTCTCATGCCTGAAATGCAAGTTTAAATTTGCAAACACACTGCTTCAAAACGCCATTGTAACATAGCATATACAATTTAATGTCCCAATACACCTTTCTTTTCTAAAAAAAAATCTTTAATGTGGCTGGCACGTGACATTACAGCCTTGTCAGTCCCTCTCAACTATAGTGGGAGGCATCTGTTTAGAAGAGCCATGCGTAAAGTTTTACTAGGAATTTTTTTTTTTTTGTTATAAAATAATAAGCATGTTATACTCACCTCCTCTGTGCAAATAAAGACTTGAAGTGAAGATATGGAGATAACGCCTGCAGCTACATGAATCATTCCTGTATCCTTTTTTTCTTTTTCAGCCAGTAAATACCTCAAATATAAAAGCCTTCCTAGTGGCTGATTAGTCACTGGATTGCTTTTACAAGCAGTGGGAGGGGATGTCACCCGCTTCCGTTGCCCACAGGCTCCTCTTTGGGCTCTCCCATATGATCGGGAAGCCCTGAATTTGAGCCGCTGGCTTATAGAGCTAGTCGTGGACCAGCTGGTCTCTATTGCTCTGGGAGGCCGGAAGCGACTTCATGACATCACTTCCGGTTCTGGCAGATGTAAACACTGCCATTTTTTCCCTGCCATTTTTTTTATCTCATGCTTTCCAGGGTAGAGGAGATATCTGTTATATTATTGACCCAGATGTCTCCATAAAGAGGACCGATCATGCTTTATTTCTTTCCCAAGGGATGTTTACATTTCTTGTGATAGGAATAAAAGTTATAAAAAAAAAAATTAAAAGGGACATCGTAAAAATAAAAAATAATAATAAAAAAACATCTTATAGTGCCCTCATCCCCCTGTGCTCACACGCAGTGGTAAATGCACACCTAGTTCGTGCCTGCATATGTAACCATTCACATATGCGGGCATGACCTAGATATGCATTCACTACTGTTTGCACCTCTGATTTGAGGTACGCCGCAAATGTTATAGCAAGAGCAATAATTCTATCACTTTGCTTCCATTAAGTACTGTAGTTTTGGCATCATTCCACAAGTGTGCACAATTTAAAAGGATGACATGTTAGGTTTCTATTTACACGGAGTAACATCATCTTTTATACTTTACAAAAAATTTGGGTTACATATTATGTTTTTTTGCATTAAAATTCATTGAAGTGTTTTGTTTTTTTTAATTGTGTTGAAAATTGCTGCAAAAATATAATGTGACATAAAACATTGCAATACCAACCATTTTGTTCTCTAGGGCCGCTGATTAAAAAAAATATGTATATATTTTTAATGTTTGAGGGTTTTGAGTAATTTTCTAGCAAAAAAAATAGTTTTTACATTTAGGAGATAAATGTCAGAATTGGCCTGGGTGGGAAGTAGTTAATGACACGGAATAAAGAAATAAAAATTACATACAGTATATATGCACAAACATTTATTTAATCCTACTTTGTGGAATAGCATACTCCTAAATTCCAGTGGAGCAACGCTTATGGGGATTAATCTTCCCTCTGGTGCCTATCAACTGTTCCAGTTTAAGTTTGCGCCTTTGTGGTCTACAGTGCAGTTGGACCTCAAATCTCTCCATTACATAGCTGAGGTATACCATAATCCTTAAAATAAACATAGATTGTTGTACCTATTCCATGTCATCTCTCTTTTAGTCTCTTCCAATAGGGCGACTTTTCCAGTTTTGCTTGCGCAGATCAGTGTCCATGACTTCAATGAGGTCTCTGGCTGCCCACCATACCAGAGTTATTTATTGGCATGTCCATGGCCAGTCTAAACAATGGATTAACATAGAATGTGAAAGGGCACTTCACTAACATACATCTGTGGCGTGGCTGGCACCTCAGGATATTCTGGAATAGGTTGCAACCTATCCGCTCATTGGGGCGATCTTGAAGAAATTCTCCCCTGTGCATACAATAGAGGGCATCTGCTTCTTTCTCCACCCTAGGACACCCCTCGGATTGAACCCTGGATCACCACCAGACAGCTATTCGACGTTCAAAGGGCACAGGTCTCAAAGTTTTTCAATCAGGATCCTTTTTTCCTGGAATTATGTATTTCTTTACAAGGCGGGTCTTGCCTCCTACATGCTTAGGGTCTTTATATTTTGGTGGATATTCCTTCAGGTGCACCACTATCTCAAAGGTCTTCCTTCACTGTATCACTGTGCAGGACTACCTTCCTCCTTTGAAAAGCATGTTAAGGTGCGGCTCCTAATAGCCACTTATTACCTGTCTTTATGGCCTGCTGAGGGAGGACTGCCCTAATTGTTTAGTTAAGATGATGACTAAACAGGAATAGAAACTTATCCCTACTATAACTTATGACACATGGCAGGGTATCTGTACACAAGAGTTCATTCATCAGCTGCATTCAGAAAACAAACTGCAAGATTTTTAACCCACTTTTACAGAACAAAAGATGTGCTACACAAAGTAAACAGTCAAATTCCTATTAAGTGTTATGATGTTATAGCCATGTGGGTGTGCTTGTGCACATTTTATGGTCTTGCCTAAACATCCAACTATTCTTGAGTGAAGTTGATGACATCCTGACTACATTCCTAGGGGCTACATTCGGAATTCTATATTCTTTTCCGTACTGCCCAATCTAGTTTGACTTTCCATAAATCCCTCTACAGTTGTCTCAACAATATGGCCAGAGCCACTATCCTGAGAGACTGGTACTCTACCCAGGTGTCCTACCTCAGCAAAAGGATGCTCTAAGTCATGTTAAGTACATCTGCAAAGTGGATGAACTGATGCTTGACAAAATGAATAGGCTTGTGAATTTTTATGAGATGTGATTCTACTGGAAATACTATACCCATTCACATGAGTATAAGTCCTTAATGTCCTGCTGTCTTCATCTAGAAACTTGTATTGCACGCATAGAGGCTCGGAAACTACATAATTTGTTGTCCTGTGCTACCACTGGATGCCAAGGTGCAGTCCACTTTTACCATCACACCGACCTGTCTCCTTAACCACCCCTTCCCCCTCCTTCCCCAGCCTTATTTTACACCTGTTTACCTTTTATTAGGGATAAGTTGTCACATTATCCTCTCCTTGTGTATACAAGAGCCTATGCAAAATCCATGATAATATACTGATATTTTGTAATTACTGTGTCTTCTATTTTTGGTGTATTGTTTAGAAAATAGAAACAAAAATTACCGCTGTTGTACACTGTAAAAGGCAATAGATGATAGTGCAGCCAAAAACTAATTTTATTTCTCTGGTGGTAAATCTACATCTCTGTTAAATTTTCATGGTGTGGCATTATTAGACTTGCAGTGCAATTCATAGTTTCCATTAAATTATTATATATTCAGTAGAAATATTACCCATCAGCTGAGTATAATTTGATTATTATGTTTTTGAGGGAAGACTGGTTCTTCGAAAGACCATCTCCAGGCAAAGCTTAATGAGTGGCCAAATTGAACCATAACATAGTTTTCTTATTTTGTTGCACACTTCCATGATAAGCAGTAAATAAGATTTCTTGTTTTACTGTGTACAGCTATAATTGAATGTCTTTCCAGGGATGGCACTGCTGGTCCAGAAAGCGGGAACGTGCAGTTGGAAGCACAACGTGCATTTAAAACTCGAAGGCAAATCTCTGAGGAAACAGAAGGTCCAGAAGCAAGAGATTCTCCAGAGGTAAAACAATTATGAACACAAAACAGCACAACAATACCCACACTATCAGGGCCGTCTTTAAGGAGAGGCAAAAGGAGCAGCTGCTCTGGGCCCATTTATTGTTGTGGGGCCCAAAGCAGCTGCTCCACTCTTGCCAACTGTCCCAGTTACATTCCCTTGTCCCTTAAATTCTTCATCCTGCACTGTGTCCCGATATCTCAGTGTGAAGTGCTGCCACTTATGCTGCCCAGCTCTGCCCTATTGCCATGACTCACATGCAGACCTCATCAGCATTCACATTTAATCAACCGGCATTCATATGTAAATAGAGAAGGGTCCTCAGCATTGATATGTAAATAGCGGGGGTATTCATATATATAGGTAGAGGTGGCATTCATATGTTTATTATGCCTCCCAGAGGTTTCAGCCTTCATCACCTTTTCTGAATGCTGCGCACTGGGGAGGTAAACAGGGGCATGCTTGAAAGTCCTGCCTGCAACTGTGGTCACTGAGCCTACCATCAGCCTGATCTACAAAGGTAAGCAAAGAAATTACAGTTTGGGGTGCACAGGTGAGCGAGGAGGGGATGTACAGAGGTAAGGAAGGTGGGTGCAAAGATAAGCAGAGGAGGCATGTGGAGTTACGGTGGGGGGGAGGTTAGAGTGAAGAGGATAGGGGAGTTTTGGGGTGTAGAGGTTAGCAGTGAAATTTAGGATGCAAAGGTGTATTGACAGGGTGGGTAAAGATGTACAGTCAGGACCATAAATATTGGGACATCGACACAATTCTAACATTTTTGGCTCTATACACCACCACAATGGATTTGAAATGAAACGAACAAGATGTGCTTTAACTGCAGACTGTCAGCTTTAATTTGAGGGTATTTACATCCAAATCAGGTGAACGGTGTAGGAATTACAACAGTTTGCATATGTGCTTCCCACTTGTTAAGGGACCAAACGTAATGGGACAATTGGCTTCTCAGCTGTTCCATGGCCAGGTGTGTGTTATTCCCTCATTATCCCAATTACAATGAGCAGATAAAAGGTCCAGAGTTCATTTCAAGTGTGCTATTTGCATTTGGAATCTGTTGCTGTCAACTCTCAAGATGAGATCCAAAGAGCTGTCACTATCCGTGAAGCAAGCCATCATTAGGCTGAAAAAACAAATCAAACTCATCAGAGAGATAGCAAAAACATTAGGCGTGGCCAAAACAATTGTTTGGAACATTCTTAAAAAGAAGGAACGCATCGGTGAGCTCAGCAACACCAAAAGACCCGGAAGACCACAGAAAACAACTGTGGTGGATGACCGAAGAATTCTTTCCCTGGTGAAGAAAACACCCTTCACAACAGTTGGCCAGCTCAAGAACACTCTCCAGGAGGTAGGTGTATGTGTGTCAAAGTCAACAATCAAGAGAAGACTTCACCAGAGTGAATACAGAGGGTTAACCACAAGATGTAAACCATTAGTGAGCCTCAAAAACTGGAAGGCCAGATTAGAGTTTGCCAAACGACATCTAAAAAAGCCTTCACAGTTCTGGAACAACATCCTATGGACAGATGAGATCGAGATCAACTTGTACCAGAGTGATGGGAAGAGAAGAGTAAGGAGAAGGAAAGGAACTGCTCATGATCCTAAGCATACCACCTCATCAGTGAAGCATGGTGGTGGTAGTGTCATGGCGTGGGCATGTATGGCTGCCAATGGAACTGGTTCTCTTGTATTTATTGATGATGTGACTGCTGACAAAAGCAGCAGGATAAATTCTGAAGTGTTTCGGGCAATATTATCTGCTCATATTCAGCCAAATGCTTCACAACTCATTGGACGCCGCTTCACAGTGCAGATGGACAATGACCCAAAGCATACTGCAAAAGCAACCAAAGAGTTTTTTAAGGGAAAGAAGTGGAATGTTATGCAATGGCCAAGTCAATCACCTGACCTGAATCCGATTGAGCATGCATTTCACTTGCTGAAGACAAAACTGAAGGGAAAATGCCCCAAGAATAAGCAGGAACTGAAGACAGTTGCAGTAGAGGCCTGGCAGAGCATCACCAGGGATGAAACCCAGCGTCTGGTGATGTCTGTGCGTTCCAGACTTCAGGCTGTAATTGACTGCAAAGGATTTGCAACCAAGTATTAAAAAGTGATGTTTGATTTTATGATTATTATTCTGTCCCATTACTTTTGGTCCCTTAACAAGTGGGAGGCACATATGCAAACTGTTGTAATTCCTACACCGTTCACCTGATTTGGATGTAAATAACCTCAAATTAAAGCTGACAGTCTGCAGTTAAAGCACATCTTGTTCGTTTCATTTCAAATCCATTGTGGTGGTGTATAGAGCCAAAAATGTTAGAATTGTGTCGATGTCCCAATATTTATGGACCTGACTGTATGTCACATGTAGGGCAGCAGCTCATTCATTTTAATGGGCTACTCTGTGTGCTAGAAATGCGAAAATAAAGTCCTCTATCTCTTTTCAAAATCACACCGAGCCACAGCACTGTGAATTTTGGTGCATGTGGAAACACGTGCGTCAGCAAATGCGTGAGGGTGTTATTAACAATTGATGACACTGCTGTGTATCTTCTGAAGGTTGGCACGTTGCTGTGCTGTCAGGAAAGCAATTTTGCATGCATTTCCAACATGCACAAATGTGATCATAGGCTAAATGTCTCAATTGCATTGGTGGTCAGTGTATATCTTCTCATTACATTGGGGCTTGGTGTAGTGGTTAGTGTGAATGTCCCCCTTACATTGGTGGTCACTGTAAATCCCTTCTCACATTGGTGGTTACTGTGAATGGTCCTAATTTATTAGTGGTAAGTGTAAATCCCCTTTACATTGGTGGCCACTGTGGAAACTCCGATTTATTTTTGTAGCCAGTAAAAAATCCTAACTTACATTTGTGGTCAGTGTTGAATCCTCCTTTACATTGCTGGTCCATGTAGATGCTCCCCTTAAATTGGTGGTCAGTGTAAATTCCCCCTTACATTGGTGGCCAGTGTAGAAATGTATTGGTTGTTGGTTTAAAATCCCCCATTACATTGGTCGTCAGTGCAAATTCCCCATTACATTGGTGGTCAGTGTAAATTTCCCTTTACATTGGTGGTCAATATAGAGGTGTCACCTCCCATCCCCATCCAGCACTGCCACTGATCCTATCCTCCCACCAGCACAGTCACTCATCCCATCCTCCCACCAGCACAGTCACTCATTCCATCCCTCCAGCACTGCCACTTATCTCATCCCCTACCATGACTGCTACTGATCCCATCAATCCCCCAGCACTGCCTATAGTCACACCCTCCTCCCCCCAGCACTGCTACTGATTTAAGGAGTCCTAGAATTCCTAGGAGTTTTCTGTCTATTAGTGGGTCCCCTCATCTTCCCAGTCCATGGTGTGCAGGCAGTGAGGAGATGATGTGTTGTAATCTTCATCAACCAACCTGTGAACTCTAATGATGTTTCGTAACCTCGAGCAATCAATACGTAAGTGGTAATGATGCACAATAACTAACAGCAACCAATTAGTGAGTAATGTGCAGTAACCTCTAGCAACTAGTGGGTGGTAATGATGTGCAGTAACCTTTAGCAACCAATCGGTGTACAGTAGTGATATGTTGTAATCTCTAGCAACCAACCAATGAGCAATAATGATGTGCAGTAACCTCCAACAACCAATCAGTGAACAATTATGATGTGCAATAACCTCTAGCAGCCAGTGAGCGGCAATGATGTGCAGTAGCCTCTAGCAACCAGTGGGTGAGCAATAATGATGTGCAGTAATCTCTAACAACCAATCAGCAAGCAGAAATCATGTGCTGTAACCTCTAGAAACTAATCAGTGATCTGTAATGATATGCTGTAACCTCCGGCAACCAATTGCAATTGCTGCCTTTTCTGCTAAATATACTGATTTTGAGTCTAGCTGCTATTTATTGTGTGTCTCTGAGCAGGTGGAGATCAAAAATGCATGGGGAGGCCCAAGAAAACATTTGCCTAGGGTCCAATCAATATTAAAGGCATCCCCGCACACTATTGTGGACTAGAGAGGTCAGAAATATGTTCAGTTTTGCACATCTACATCTCGTTCTCCATGAGTTCTGCCTTAAAGTCAGTCATCAAGTCAAGAATTTTATGACGGTTTTATACTGTTTAGGTTAGTCATGTGGAGATTACATATCATCTTGTAAACAAATTTGATTATTATTTTTGCTTCCAAATGCCCATTGTGCAGAATTTGAACCTGGTACTTTTTTGAAGTATAGTATGCCTCGCCTATAAAATTCCCATTCTGTAGCAGACAGAATTTATAATTCAGATAATTCTCACCCCGCCTGATAATGGTCCGTTATCTTATCTACCTTCTTACGCTCAATATGCAATAAGCTCCAGTTCACCTTAGTGCAATTTCTGATGCAGCTGTTGTTTGGCCACCACTGGATGACAGTGAAAATCACATTATTCTCTATGGTGTCAGTTTACATCAATGGAACATGGCTGTTGCAATTTTTTTGAAAAGGTATAATTGCTACTTTGGTACTGTTACAGCTCAATTTTGGCCTCATGAACTTCAATGGAAGTGCACCAAAACTGCGTGTGAAACACATGTACGTGCATTTCTAATGTGTTTATGGCAGTGTTTTGTGTATAAAATCCAGGCTCCTTCTGCAAAACAAAATGCATGAAGCATGAAAAACACATCAAAAACATGCAGTCTCACACTACACAATTGCACTGAAAATCAGATCATGCTGCAGCAGTGTGGGCCTAGGCCAAATCAGTTTGCCTATCTCTCTTGATCTGACAAATATACATCTAAAAAAGGTCAGTAGTTGGGTGGTTATTGTTAGGTTCATTTATTTTTCGGTATAATCAAACCGAAATGTTGCATCTTGTAATGATATTGACTGGATGTCTTATAAATTTAGTAATAATATGTTTTTGCTTTCTTAACAGAGTTGGGAAATTATAACCGAGGATGATTCCACTGTATACAGCAACCACAGTACTCAACCACACTCATTATCTAGCAGTGACCTCCAAACACAAGTTACTGATGAGCTCAATGCAAGGCTTCACATATCTGGGAATACTGCCAGTGGCAGGCAGAGCTCAAGCATTGTAAGCTATTTTTGTATTGCTATTATCATTTATAAATGAAACATTAACAAGCCTCCTGACACAACCTTATGACCTCTGTCAGGATCCACCAAGCCAAAAACAGAATCTAAAAACCTCCTGTTTTAATCACAAACAGCAATTAAACAACATGTAAATGTGTTTTTCGTCTTAGCTTGATATTTAATGCTTGCACAAATGTAGGAAAAGATTATTATAACCATTGGCTCAGAAAGGTAAAGAGCTTAATGATGGAAAGATCCTACTATCCACTATATTACACCCGTTCTTTTATTATTCCCTAAACCTTTAAGTTCCACAAACTGGTTATGGATTTTTTAAAGGGTCATTACACCCAAATGGGATATCTTATTTAAAGTTAGAGCCTGGCATCCTGAATCACCTGCTGGCTCCCTGTATCACTTGGTGATTTCACCAGTTTAGATCTCCATTACATAGTTCTGCACTGTTTTTAAGCCAAACTAAAAATGCAGCATTGGAAGGAAAACATTGTAAGTGGGTGCACAGACCTAGGATTCTGAGATCTCACAAAGTTCCTAAGAAGTACAAAAGTTATTAGGGGATTTATCTTTCAAGCATCTGTAAGTTTTGAGTATATGGTATGGCTAATTACTGATAGCAGTGCAGAAAATGACTTTAATGTAATGGGGGAAAAAAGTGTTATTTAAAGTGGTTGCAAACCTCAGATACGAAATATGAACAAAGCATATCCCTCTATAGTGTGTACATGTTTTATTCCAGGGCACGAAGTGTCATTTCTCTCTGCTGCCTCCTTCCTCTTCTATCAGCATGAGTCACTTTTGGTAGGTTTTCCAGACACCAAGAGAAAAAAGATGACAGGGTGAGATAACTCCAGCACATAGCCTGTGATTGACAGCCTCAGCTCTGTTCCTGTGTGATGGTTGAAGGTGAATCTGTCCCTTCTCTCCAATCCGATCTTCAGCTCTCCACCCCCTGCTTCCTGGAAGCTCAGATAAGCTGTGTCAATTCTGCCTTTTGAATGGCTGTAGAGAAGTGAAGGCTGCAAATAAACAGGTGCAATTTATGTGGTAGGATTTGTTTACAGTGGGTTTAGGAAAGAATCACCCCTTCAAAATAATCACATTTTGTTGCTTTGCAGCCTGAAAAGAAAAAAGACACAGTCTTTGTTTTATCCAGCAGTATTTACTCTTAGTAGTGCAACTTATAACATTCAAGTGAAAGATATAACATCAACATGTCAGAAATGTTTTTTTTTTATTTCAACTTGCAATTACTGAGCTGGAAAAAGGATCACCTCCCCCTCCTAAAAAAATAACGTGTAAACTCAATCAAGTGTTGCTAATCACCTTCTCAATGGCACACAAAGCAATTTGCCTTTCAACTGTGATCAGCTGTGGTCATTTTGATTAACTCATCATGAAAAGAGCTTTTCTGGAGCATTTCAGTCCCTGGTAAAGCAACTGGAGCAAACGTTCAACTATGGCTGGCATGGCACTGTCAAAAGATCTCTGGGATAAAGTTGTGAACAGGCACAAGTACAGAAATGGATACAAAAAAAAAAAAATCAAAGGCTCTATCAATGGCTAAAAGCAAAGTGCAGTCTATTATTAAGACGTGGAAGGTATCTGGTACAACAGAGACTCTTCCTTAATCAGGACGTCGCTCCAAACTGGATGAAAGATCCAGGAGGAAACTGGTCAGAGAGACTACCAAGAGGTCTACAGCAACTCTGAAGCAGCTGCAGAAATTTATGACAAAGAGTGGTCATTGTGTTCATGTGACAACAATATCACAAATTCTCCACAAATGTGGCCTGTATGGGAGGGTTGCAAGAAAAAAGCCACTCTTCAAGAAAGGCCACATGCAGTCACAACTGAGCTTTGCCAAAAACACACCTTGAAGATTCTGAGGCAGCATGGTCAGAATTTGTTATGGTCAGATGAGACTAAAATGTAATGATTTGGGCTCAACACTAAACGATATGTCTGGCAGAAATCCAATACAGTTTACCATCCAAATAACACCATTCCGACAGTAAAGCATGGAGGTGGTAATATCCTGTTATGGGGGAGTTTTCTCTGCAGCAGGGACTGGAGTGCTTGTCAGGATAAAAGGAAAAATGGATGGGGTAAAATACTGTCAAATTATTGAGGAAACTCTGCTGCCTCCTGCCAGAAAGTTTTCATTGGGCCGAAGGTTTACCTTTCCACATGGCAATGACCCAAAGCACACAGCAAAAATGCCTACACAGTGATTAAAGGAGATAAAGGTAAATGTTATTGCATGGCCACCCCATTGAAAATCTGTGCGATGACTTGCAGACTGAAGTCCATATACAATCATTTACATTTTTTTAAATTTTTTTTCTGACATGTTAGTGTTACTTCTTTCCCTTGGATGTAATAAGTTGCATTAAGTAAATACAGCTGGAGAAAACAAAAACGGTGTCTGTCTTCATTTCAGACTGCAAAGCACCAAAATATGAATATCTTAAAGGGGAGTGATTCTTTTCTATAGCCGCTGTATGTAAGGGTTTACAGCCACTTTAAGATGCATGTCAGTTAACTGTAATTTCTTCCAAAAGTTAAGGACTTTCATTTAATAAATAATTAACTAGTTGACTTAGCATGCCCAAAAAATCTTCATCAAAGTACATATGATGTGTGTAGCACAGCCTATCCTGCCCAGTTGCCTGCCTCCTTGCTGGCAATTCCCAACTCTTAAAGCAGTAGTAAACCGCACACAAAAAAAAAGTGGGACCCCGCAGGATAATGTCATAATGTGCCTACATATTAAAACCTTAGTTTTTTGGCAATAAAATTTTTATTAAACACAAATTTTCAGGAAAAAATATAATTACATGAATTATAGTGCAAAAACGCACAATATAATACCCATTTTTGGTTACAATATAAAAGATGGGGTTGCATCGAGTAAATAGATTCCATGTCTTTAAATTGCGTGCACCCACTATATAACCAGAACTATGGTGCAAAAATCACCATAGGTGACGCTTTAAAAGCCTTTACAGCTCATCGGTTTAGAGTTAACTAGGAGCTCTTGTGCTAGAATGTTCTCAGTCTGACATTCAGGGCGATGTGTCACATGTGCTGCTACCGTGGTTTACCTACGTGTGCACACCCAGGCTTGTCCTGTACTGTATGAGCAGAATAATCGAAATCTTGACAAATTATATATTTTGGAGTACAATATAGGACACAGGTCCCTCCCTCCTCCTCAGCGATCTCCTTACTGCTTGCATTTGCATTTGCGCAGGTGTGTAGGGCATGGGGGGCTATGGCAATTTTTTCTCTTTATTTTAATACATTTTATTAGAATTTTATTTTTTTCTGGTATTTTTTATTTGCTACTTGATTGCTATCACAAGGGGTTAATAAACCCCTATGTGATAGCATTGGGCAGGTTACAGGTACTCTTTATGGAGACATTAGGGGTGTAATAGACCCCAGTGTCTCCCCTGCCCTTCAATCCATCTAACCAATCACAGATCAGCTTAGTTAGATGTGTCTACTGGCCAGGCAAGGATGCATCTAATACTTGAAGTGACATCACTTCCGGTTTCATTGTCTGTATGTGAGATTGAGGCATGGTTTTGCCTTGGCCCTACAGCGCTTCCCCTCCCCTAGCCGGCAGTTGAGTTTCCGGGCTTCAGTAAGAGTGGGGGGGGGACCTCCGTTCCAGCTCATCAGCTAGTAAATCAAGGTTCACACTTGGGACATATGTAGTAGCATATCCCCGCCCTCCTTTCCGAGTTTCAACAATCCCCTGGTCTGCACCAGTCTGTGCAATTTCCCCCTTCCCCAGCCTGCACTATACCCCTCCCAGTTTGCACAATATCCCCCCCCCCCAGTCTGCACAATCCCCTCAGTGTAGACAATTTCCCCTCCAGTTTGCAGAATTCCCCCCCCCCATCTGCACAATCCCCCCCAGTCTACACAGTTTCCCCCCCCCGTCCGCACAATTCCCCCCCCCAAGCCCGCACAAACCCCCCCTCCCAGTTTGCAGAGTCCTGCACCAGGTTGCACAATCTCCCCTTCCACCGGTCTGCGCAATTTTCCCCTCCCCGGTCTAAACAATCACTGCCAGTCTATGCAATTTTATCCTCCCCCCAGTCTGCACCATAGTTCCCCCCCCCCCCCTCCCCCCAGTCTGCACAATCTCTTCCTCCCAGTCAGCACAACCCCCCACCTCCAGTCTACACAGTTTCCTCCCCTGTCTGCACAATTCCCCCCCCCCCCCCCCCCAAGTCTGCACAAACCCCCCCCCCCTCCCAGTTTGCAGAATCCTGCACCAGGTTGAACAATCTCCCCTTCCACCAGTCTATGCAATTTTATCCTCCCCCAGTCTGCGCAATTCCTCCCCCCAGTCTGCACCACAGTTACTCCCCCCTCCCCCTAGTCTTCATCACAGTTACTCCCCCCTCCCCCCAGTCTGCACAATCTCTTCCCCCCAGTCTGCACAATCTCCTCCCCCCAGTCTGCACAGTCCCCCCCCCCTCCAGTCTGCACAAGCCCCCCCAGTCTGCCGAAGGGAGAGAGAGAAGGAAGAAAGAAATGAGAAAGAGAGGGGGGGAAAGAAGGAGCAAAGCAAAAGGGGGTGGGGGTGAGAGGGTTTTTTTTTAGGCTGCAGAAGGCTCACTCATCAATTATGCCTCCCCCCTCAGGATGGTCTCCCACAGGTAGGCAAAGCAAAGTGCATGTAGGGGGCTGTAGTGTGGGCGGGGTTGCGTGGATACAAATGGGAGGCGGAGTGTCGGACTGGACAGGCAGGAGGGAGGAAATAGGAAGACAGTGGTGACAAGACGACTGGATGGGTGACAGAGCAGATACAGCCCGACTTCTGGGCAAGCTAGCTTTCACTGCTCTAACTCTGGCAGCTGTCTAGGTTGCTGACAGCTGGAGCTACAATCACACTGTCAGGTAGTGATCCCCTACGCTGTCTGATGCTGAGCAGCCAAAAAATAGTACCATGTTTGTTGTTCTTGGTACTTGCCTCCCTGCCCCCCGGCCCAGTACGCCCCGTCTCATAGTCTAAAAATAAAACTCCTGTGTCCTGTACTGTATGAGCAGAATACTCAAAATCTTGGCATACCTCCAAATTATATATTTTGGAGTACAATATAGGGCACAGGTCCCTCCCTCCTCCTCAGTGATCTCCTTACTGCTTGCTAAACAGACTAAAGCCTCATGGTGTGGGTGAGGTTACATGGGTGCACTGGGGGACATTTCCCAGCAAAGCTTTTCCCAGTGTCCAATCATCTGAAAGTAGTGGGATATAACACATGGTCTAATAATAAACTCTTGCATCCTGTAATTGTATTTTGATAAGGAATTTACAGGTATATCTAAATTTCTATATTTTGTGTATCTTTTAATTAACCCCTTAATAACCCGTAGTTTACACTAATCAGCCCTGAATAACTTTTGTTTTCCCTTTTCACTCAACTATTATTTTCCTGGGGGTTTTTTTTGTATTTTATGAACCATTAAAATATATACTTTTTGTTTTATTCATTAATTTTGTTTTTGTGCCACATTTACAAATACATAAAATTGAAAAACAACTTTAATTTTTTGTGCCAGAATCATAATGTTAGTGTCATTTTAAACAGTACAAGCTATAGAATAAATGTATACTATATATGTACGGTGACCTTATTTTGTTGGTCAAAAAAGAAGAAAGTGGGTTTTTTAGGTTTTGCTATTTGTGTAAGGATTACACAAAAAAAAATCATGAAAAGAAATCCTTACTTTAAATGAACAATCTGTTTGGCCTCATGTACACATGAACTCCATTAGACATTTGGCTATCCTGGCAGCAGAAACACTGAACGTGGTACTGCGTTTAACCTTCCCTTGGACCTTTATTCATTTGATTGGCCAGAGTATTTTCCATTGACATAAATAAATGCCTAAACTGGACTAGTGTTTAGATGCGTTTACATATGTTTTTGCTGCATTTAGCATTTATTGTCCGAAAATTTCTTTTGCTGAACGTGATTCTTCTGTGTTAAGGAGAGGAACGTTTAACTGCCCCTAAACTCTGGTTTATTGAGTTGAGTTCAGAGGCTTTGGCAAAAAAACACCAAAAATTCATAAACTCAGGTTTAGGAGCAGCAGTATACATGAGACCGTAATCATTTTGTTATCTTAAGTAATTAAAAAGTTGTTGCAGAATAAACTATACATAGCAAAAATGTATAAAATGCACTGGTCCATAGGGGGTATACAGGTGTGAGAGTTAGAGGGATCCCAGGAACTTAGTGGAGTTAAGTTTATTATGTTTGCCATTTGCTAGCTATGCTCCTGCAAAACTATGCTGTTCACCCACTGCCCACATGCTTACATTTGCAGTGCCTTGCTATTCATCTTTTGAATTGACTTAGTTGGACAGTAGAAGCTTAGTGGGGTTTCTCAACTACCCAGGGCAGAGCAGATGGAATGGGCATGTGCAGGCAGTGTGTGAACCTCTTGAGAGCTGAAATTTCCCTGCAAGGTGAAGGACACCAGAGATTGAAGTATATACTGTATATAAAATTACATTTCTTGTAGTTTCTGTTTAAGAAGTATTATAGAACTTTTAGGAAAAATGGCAAAATTTTGTTTCAGAACTATACTCATGCTCAGATTTTTTCATAGATTTTCATCTTTCATTTTCATCACATTTTAAATGTGTTTTGTAAAGGTGAATTCCAGCAGAAGAGGGAGCTTGCAATCTTATACACAGGAAGAACTACCTACGTTACCAGTTGTAAGATTTTCTGTTGTCTCCCAACGCATGATGAATTGGCTGTGTCTAATGGTGTTTGGCCTGTTTAATGCTGTGTTTAAAACATATATTATTTTATTAAACTGTATCATGGAACAGGCTTACTCTAACCAATAATAGTCAGTTCACAGTGCAGATAAATTATTTGGAGACCTGCTGATTAATGCGTCTGAGATTAATATTTCTATAGTTGCTAGCACTGGTAAAATTAATTACATTGGTCGCTCAGCTCAGTTACATAGTTAGTCTGGCTGAAAAAAGACAACAGTCCATCCAGTTCAACCACAAAAAAAAAAAAGTTATAATCCTTAACCCACAGTTGATCCAGAGGAAGGCAAAAAACCCAGCAAAGCATGATTCAATTTGCTCCTTCAGGGGAAAAAATTCCTTCCTGATCCCCCGAGAGGCAATCAGATATTCCCTGGATCAACTTTACCTATAAATGTTAGTATCCAGTTATATTCTGTGTATCCAAGAAATAATCCAGGCCTTTTAAACCAATCCACTGATCTGGCTAGAACCAACTCTTGAGGGATAAAATTAACAAGATCCTCCTGCGCTCCTATGCGAGACAAAAACAATGTGTAGATATTAGAACGCAGCTAGCATCCCATCCTATACCATATAGGTCTAACGTCACATAAACATAATAATGATGCAGCGCTGATAAACAATCATCGGTAATAAACAATATATGAACACAGACAATATAAAACAGATAAAAAAGGTCTAAAGGACCAGACCTATTAATGATCACAAAAAGTGACCCCAATCCACATGGGGATATAATATTCGTGACCCCCAAGTGTCTTAATAGGACACAATATTAATCCACACAGATGTGAATCCCTAATGAGGGATCAGATAAAAACACACTTAGTGAGACACTCATCACATTTAAATAATTCAGTGGCAAAACAGTCCATAAATCAGTGTAGTGATCTTCCGGTTCATACACGATGTGGATGTCAGCACACCCTCACTGTGAACCCCAAAGAAATGGCTGCAATGGCCTCTCACCTCCACTTCATGACCCTGCAGGGCCACAAAGCAAATAAACTCTCCTCTGGATCCTCTAAGCAACCGCTCTAATAGCCAGACGATGTTAGCAGGCAATCGCTATTCATAGATCCACTGGACCGGTCAACAGGCAGCTTAGCACTCTCATAAAAATCATATGCCCATAAAACAGAGAGAGAACACAATCTCCATAGTGTATTACTGTTTAATAGCATATAAAATCAAGGAAGACAAAAGTGCACTCACATAGATGTAGCTTGCATCAGGTAGAAAGCATATATCAAGGTAGAATCCAATGTGCACAATGTACATCATATATCAAGGTAGAATCCAATGTACAAGGTGTTCTGCATGAGAAAAGCTCTAAGTCACGAGGTCACGTGACGCAACGCGTCGATGGCATTCACGGGTGACGTACTTCCAGCGCGGCGCCATTTTTGAATACCTACTAGCGTTTTTTTTATGTTCTTATCAGAGGCTAATGGATATGCCATCCCCTTCAACACATATATACGTCATCCACAGATAGTAAAAGCTCAAATAGAACAGAAGTTCCCCATAGTATACTATGTGCATAAGCTGCACTAACTTTCCACAAGCGTGGTATCATGACCACCAGTATGTCACATTCAGATATGTGCTCTCCCCTCCTGTATGATCAAACCCGGCACTAAAACTCAACCACTTTCGTGGATGACCAGGTGTACGTTCACATCGGTCCCTGCCCTCAAGGATCTTACGATCTAAGGTCCCTAACTCGCATTCATACATACACATAGTAGGGCCAATTTAGAAAAGAGTCAATTAACCTACCAGCATGTCTTTGGAGTGTGGAAGGAAACCAGAGTACCTGGAGGTAACCCATGGAGGCACAGGGAGAACAAGCAAACTCTAGGCAGGTAGTGCCATGGTTGGGACTCATACCAATGACCCTAGTGCTGCCAAGTGGAACTGCTAACTACTTATCCGCTGTGCTGGAATACCCTCACTTGTAGCTATAGTGGAAAACAGGCAAGAGGGAGCCACAGCTAAACGCCAGGCAAACATTCACTCTGCTGAAGGCCTGTACAACACTCAGTCTCAGAGTGATGATGCTTCCCTTGCATTGGAGCATGAACCTGATTTAACACCGGTCACTGAATCTGATTCTAGCTCTTTCAGGAATGCAGCAAGTGGCTTCAGAAAAGCAGAATTTTCTGCATCTATGTTACAGTACCATGGACAATTAACAGCCTTGATATAGCCATCTTTTCCGTCTTTACAGGAGTCGGATTCCGATATGCCTGCCCTAAACAAGACAGACATCAAAGGAAATGAGGAAGTTATATACAAACATTTTTAGAGGGTGTGATTTTTTTTCATCCACACTCTTACATCTGAAGCATGAGCTTCCCGCAACATGCTTGTTATTGTGGATATGCTCACTCCAGAAATTATTTTTAATCACTAAAAATATTTAGTCAAACTTTATCCCGTGGAAAAAGTTCACTAAAAAGTGGTCTGTTCCTGTAATGGATCTTGTAGTCTCCTTCTTTAACATCTCACTGTACCAATTCAAGATGCTCATTCAAGGGTTCTGCAGATATAAAGTTTAAGACACTTCTGAAGGCACTGTTTACTGTAGCAGGCCCAGCTCTGCAACCAGCTCCTGCTGAAATGTGGCAAACTGCAGTTAACTGGACTAGGTTAATACACAGCCAAGAGTATCTATAATTCCAGGACTATTCTTTAATGGAGAGGTTACAGCAATTACCTCTTGCTCTGCTGTTTTTTGTGGATGTCCTACAACGTCATGAGACAAATTTTCGATTTTCTGATCTCCATTCACATACATGGAATCTTGTTGCTCAAAGCCTGGACAGCTGCAGCTGACTGTGAAAACCACCTCACACGTATGCCTTTTTAAGGCAGACCTTTTTGGGGAGGCACTTGAACAATTCATCAAAGATGTCACTGGACAGAAGGTTTTACTTATACAGAGGAAGAGTCCAAAACTCCCCTGCTCCGGAGTCTCTTCCTCCTCAAAATGCAGAGCACCTAACCGCTGTATTAAAAAAAATCTTCTACTCAAAACTTAAGCTTACCCCTTACTTTTGGTGCAAGACTTGGCCCACAAAGCCCACCAAGTAATCCCCAAAATCCTCGTCCCAATGAAGGGGAAGTCTCCCTCCTAAGAGTTGGGGGTATGTTTGTTACAGTTTGCCTCTCTCTAGGTCACAGACGTCCAAAATCTGTGGGTTTAATAGGTGGTTTCAAAGATGTACAAAGTAAAGTTAAAAACTGCCCAAGGACAGTCAGATTTACTGAATTCCATGAACCATCTCTTGTCCCAGGGAGTGGTACCTCCACAAAACATGTTCAAAGGCTTCTTCTGTTCATGGTACCAAAGCCCAATAGGGTTATTGGTGATATTCTGAACTTAAAATCCCTCAACAAACACCTTCAAATTGCTAAATTTAAGTGCAGTTTCTAAGGTTGGTAATTGCCTCACTGTGACAGGGGAAATACCTGGCATACATAGGCATGCAGTATGCCTATCTGCATATTCCCATTTATCTACCTCTTCAGTGCTTTCTGCAATTTAAAGTGGCATATGGCCATTTCCAGTTTGTCACAGTGCCCTTTGACCTCCTGTTTCCAGGGTATTCACAAAGGTTCTAGCGCCTTGTCTTTTGCCCTCCACAGCACTCAGGGTATCCAGGTCACAGATTGTCTAGCTCAGTCTTTTTCAACCAGGGTGCCTTCAGGTTTCTTCAGGGGTGCCGTGGCAGAATGACGGTGGATGGACCAGAATTAGGTACCCCAAGATTGTGCAGAATTTTAAAGGGTGCCTTGACTGGAAAAAGGTTGAGAAACACTGATCTAGGTGATCTTCTCTTAAAGGACTCGCCCTATAAAGCTGTCTACAAAACATCCACATGACAGTGGAGACGCTCCAGGCCTCCAGTTGTGTGATCAGAACCTTTTCTTTGCTTAGACTACTTGGGATTGTTCCTGGGCACATCCCACATAAGGGTTTCTTCCAGAGAAGAAAATTCTTCTTGCATCAAACTGGCCCACAAGAGTCTGACACAGATATATTCAAACTTCCAACAGATGACCCCTGGCCTCTCTCCAACAGGTCAGATCTTCTGTCTCAGGGCCCGGTATTCCTTCCTGCTTTTCAGTCCTTGGCTTGAACGGCATGGCTTTGAAACCTAGGGCTGGAGAGAGATGTCTCTGAATCTGTTGTTCTTACTTTGCTAAAAAGAGCCAGAAAAGCCAGCTCTAGAAAGATCTACTACCGTACCAGAAAATCCTTCTTTGCCTGGTGTGAACGCACACAATTAAATCCCCGAGATTACTGTGTGCCTTGTATTCTAACCTTGTTATAATCAGGTCTTGTCCAAAATTTTGCATTAAGCACTCTGAAAAAGTTAGGTTTTGGCCTTGTCCATTCTTTTCTATTTTTTCACTCTTTTTCAAAGATCTCTGGCTTAACGAACCCTTGTAATAAACCTTTATTCAAGGTGTATCTCCCCATCAGGTTTCCCTTGCAGCACCCTGGGCTACATTGGGATCTTAACTTGATGCTCTCTCAAGGATATTCCCTTTGATGACCATTCCTGCAAAGTGGCCATTTTTGGTTGCTATCACATCTGTCAGAAGAGTCTCTGAGCTGGCTCTTTAAGTAGTCTTAAGCTCATGATCATCCTTTCTTCCTAAGGGTGGTATCAGTCTTCCACCTCAGTGAGGGCATAAGTAGTTTTACCATCTTGATGCCGTTTCATAAAAAAAAAGAAAAAGTCTCTCTTCGTTCCTTGGACATAGTCACAGCCATTAGAGTTCACCTAAAAGTACCAGTTTTGATCAGGAAAATGTTACATCTTTGTCCTGTCTTTAGGACCTTGTAAGGGATGCCCTGCTTCCAAATCCACCATTGGTCGAAGGATGAGAAATCTGATTGCTAGAGCTTATGCTCTCAAGGACAAATCTCCATTTGCATTTTTAAGGTGCTCATTTCGCCAGAACGGTGGGAGTTTTCCTGGGCTTTCTGTCACAAGACAACTGTAGCTCAGTAGTTAAAGGTTTTAGGTGCCCAATTACTGATGACTTGAACTCTGTTTCTAAAACTGTATTGAATGTGATCTATGACTGATGTAAAAACACTTGACCTCCTATCCTTTGTGTGATTTTATCATCTTTTGTATCATAAATTTTGTCTACTATTTTATAATTTGTGCTTATATGTGCATTGAAAGTCCCAAAAAAAGAGGGTTAGCTCTTTATTCGATATTGCAGTTTTTGGTAGATGCTCAATAGTTAAGCCACCTATTGTTTATTAGCCACCTAATATTTTCCTGTATCTCATATGTTTTGGTGAGATCTCTGTGTTTTTGGCAGGGGTATCTTGCTGTTGGAGCACCCAAGAAAGCCCACAAGTTTCTACCTTTACCTAAAATACTGCTTTTATTTGGGCTATATCTTTAAAAACCAGCTCCGGAAGACAAGGACAGTCAGTGCAGCTGTGCTATCATCTGCATGTGCTACTTTTCTCACTACAGTCAGATTTAGCAAGCATATCACAGGGTTTAGGTGACACTGCAGCTCTCTTCATTGTAAGGTTTGTAATGGTGAGAACGCAATGAAGGAGGGCAGTGTGGAAACCAATTAAAACACAAGATTGAAAGGAATTTACTAAGACTAGAACAACCAGATTTTGATGCAGATTTACAAGGCAACCAACCAGCTTTTAGCTTTCATTTTTAAAGTTTAACTGAACAAGCTGTAGTTAGCAGCTTATTGGTTACTGTGCACAGCTGCTCCAGATTAAGTGTGCTCCAGTTTTATAAATCACCTCCCACCCCCACACCATTATATTTTGAAAGCTTATATTTAGGACCTGAAGTGATTTAGCTTGGAAGGCAGCCAACTGCTTAAAGATAAATAATAGGGTAAAAATTAGAGCTGCTTAGCGAGTAAGCCTTGTCCCAGTCAGTTTAAATGTAAAGAGTTGACTGGAGCCAGTCAATTGTGTTTAAATAATTCCTGCATTTTTCTTCTGGTTTGCATGCATTGCGCCTTAGGTTTGCATGCATTTTGCTTATGGATTGCTTCAGGTTATTGTGCATTTCGTTACTAATTTGCATGCTGGACCAATGAAAACAAAGAACATGCACCCAGTTCTGAAAATTGGATGTAAAAGCAGCAGGAGATTTTGCTAAACAAAAAACCCACGGATTCACTTAACTGTAAACTGTACCTTTGAAGACAAAGGCCCAGACTTTTCTTTAGGCTACATGTACACTAGCCTACCCTGACCACGGTTGCTGGAAAGCGCCAAATGCATGTAAAGGTGATACATTTTTCTGCATTTTGTGGTTTCCCACAGCCGGCAGTCAAAAACGTTCATATCCTGAACGCGATTCTTCTGCGTTCAGGAGAGGGAGGTTTAACCTCAACTAAATATGGCAGCTCCTAAACTCTGCTAAAAGCCCATGTGTAAATGGACACACAGGCTTTTATGGAGTTGAGTTTAGGAGCTTTGGTAAAACAAAAAATGCCAAAAGCTCCTAAACTCAAGTTTAGGAGCTGCCAGTGTATATGAAGCTGTGGTTTAGTTTCCTTCTGAAACTTACAGCAAACTGAAGCTTTGGAGATTGGCATTTTAAAAACATTCTATTTCTAGTTCCTGGCCATATGAGGTACTCTATTTATTGTTGGTTTCTGTTGCTGTAATATGTTTACAGCACAAATGAAAATTTGCAACTTTCATCACCTTTGACAGTGTAGGGTTCAGCTGGAGACACAGGATCTTGTGATCTCCAGCCAATGTCTACCAACAATGTCTACACTCTACAGGAGAGAAGTTCTAGGCAGTCTCTCTCAGAAAATAGATCACGTTTGCAAGATAAAGTTCTTTCCACCTGCCAAAATGCATAGGGTTTTGTATACTTTGTAATTATCTTTTTTAACAGTTATTGCCTACCTCCTGTGGATTACCCCCTGGTTGGGAGGAAAAACAAGATGAGAAAGGAAGGTCATATTACATAGATCACAACACAAGAACAAACTACGTGGGAGAGGCCTGCAGTACAGGTATCAGGACACAGTACAGTACTTTTCTTTTTCTGATAATTTTGCTGTTATTGTTTGGTATAATTATTTAGTTTCCTTTCCGAAACAGACAAATAAATACAACCCCAATTCCAAAAAAGTTGGGACAGGGTCATGTTTACCATGGTGTAGCATCCTCTCTTCTTTTAACAACACTCTGTAAATGTCTGGGAACTGAAGAGACCAGTTGTTGGAGTTTTGGGACAGGAATGTTATGCCCTTCTTGCCTGAGCATATGCTGCTGTAAAACCTGACTATATCTTTCAGTATTGATGGTGCCTTTCCAGATATGTGAGCTGGCAATTCCATAAGCACTAATGCACCCCCATACCATGAGAGATGTGGGTTTTTAAACCTTTTTCTCTTTAGTCCAGAGGACATGGCGCCCATGGTTGCCAAAAAGAATTACACATTTCGATTGGTCTGACCACATAACAGTCTACCACTTTGCAAAAGACTATTTTAAATGAGAAGATGGTTGCATTTCTGGATCATGTCCAGATATGGCTTCTTCTTTGCTTGATAGAGCTGTAACTTGCATTTTTGGATGGCATGGAAAACTGTTTACAGACAATGATTTTTGAAAGTATAACTGAGCCCATGCAGTGATGTCCATCACAGAATCATGCCTGTTTTTAATGCAGTGCCGTCTGAGGGCCTGAAGATCAAATGCGTTTAGTATTGTGTTTCTGCCTTGTCCCTTGCACACAAAGATTTCTTCAGATTCTCAGAATCTTTTGATGAAATATGTACTGTAATTGATGAAATATTGTAATAAATAATGTAATGTAAGTCTTTGCAATTTTACATTATTTTGAAATTGTTAGCCATAGCTTTTCACAGATTGGTGAACCTCTGCCCATCTTTACTTCTGGGACACTCTTGACTCTCTAAGATGCCCTTTTTATATCCAATCATGTTACTGACTTGTTGCAAATTAAACTAATTAGTTGCAAAATGGTCTTCCTTGTTAATGTCACTTGCTTTTCCAGCTTTTTGGTTGCCCTGTCCCAACTTTTTGACACGTGTTACCTTATTTTTGTTTCTGGTACATTTTTGGTACATTTTCTCAATTTAAACTCTTTATATTTTTTCTATTTTCTATTGTGAATAAAATACGGGTTTATGAAATTTACAAATCATTGCATTCTATATTTTATGTAGATGTTACACAGCTTCCCGACTTTTTTGGAATTGGGATTGTAGGTTACCTTTATTAAAATTAACCTTATGTTAGTAAATACATATTATATTTACAGATATACTATTTGATCTAACTTAAAGTGTGGCTTCCTTTTTTCATTGGAGAACAACTTTTAGTTTTTCTTGTCTGACTAGTTCTTGTTGATCTTAAGCAGTTGAAAAGGAAGCTGACACAGCACTTGCTTTGAGAACATACTGCTTTTTTTGTGGGCATTGTGATGGGTTTCTTCTCAGTAGCAGAAAATGCGCAGGGCTAGAATGCTTTTGCCTGCTGGGCCCATTATCATTCAGCTAAACCAGAGGAATATGGAATGGAAGGCTTAGCAGAGACTTGTACCTTTTTAGCATTTGATATTAAAGAGGTATTAAACCCAAAAGAAAACCATTATTCTATTGCAGCTTACCAATTCTTCGATGTAGTGGCTGTATTGGTTTTCTTTTTTAGTCTTTCTTTCCCTTATTTTCACTGTATGATCTGTCCAGTAAGTCTTGTTTTTCGTAAGAACAATCTCTCTTGCAGATATAGCAGTTAGAAGGATGTGACAAACCATTTAAAACTGACAGGGGGGCTTACAGTGACCAGCTTTTATTTATTTTCGTACAACCTTTATCCCAAAAGAAAAAAACAAATGTTGCTGTAACTGCTTATAAAGTGTGCTGGAGTTTGGTTTCAATTTGTTTAGTGTATCTAAATCTGCTAGTGCATCTAACACTCCCCTCCCCCAGGATAGCGTATGTACTCTCCAGCGCCTCAGGATATGCACAGCCAAAAGGGAAGCCAAGGGTACCAGGACAGCGACAACCAAAGGAAATGCTTCAGGGGTGCAGCCCTCCTCAGACGGGGAAATCAGCCACTGGATAGAGAGAAAACAGGTGGCGCACACACCTAGTGCATTATCCAAGGTTTATTGTAGGAATTAAATCATAAAAAACATACTCACAGACGAAGCATGTATCTAAAAAGCATAGAAAAATGACAATGGCCACAACGGCGGGCAAGGTGTTCTCACTGTCAGTGTGGTCAAATGGCTGACGCGTTTTGGGGACGAATCCCTTTCCTCAGAGCTGATGACCAACCTCTGATGCTGATGCACGATGAATGGAAAGTGAAGTAAGAGCCCTGCTGTTGATGCATCAACAGCAGGGCTCTTACTTCACTTTCCATTCATCGTGCATCAGCATCAGAGGTTGGTCATCAGCTCTGAGGAAAGGGATTCGTCCCCGAAACGCGTCAGCCATTTGACCGCACTGACAGTGAGAACACCTTGCCCACCGTTGTGGCCATTGTCATTTTTCTATGCTTTTTAGATACATGCTTCGTCTGTGAGTATGTTTTTTATGATTTAATTCCTACAATAAACCTTGGATAATGCACTAGGTGTGTGCGCCACCTGTTTTCACTCCCCTCCCCCAGATTAACAATGCTGCTGTCCAAAGATATGCTAATAACAGAAAGTAACAGTCAAAAGTGCATACACAAAACAGGGACAGCCAGGTTAAAAAAGCACACTCCTAATTGGGCTTGTGTTGTTGTTGAAGTTTTTATTGAAGCTTAGAACCCTTGAGCTTATTGTTAATTGCTTGTGGATATCATTGCCTCTTGGAGATTGTCCTTTCAGGATAAACATAGAAATATCAGAGACAGGCTTTTTCTTTTTTGTTAAGCTGGCCACGGGAAATTACTCAGTGTTGTTTTCCTTCAGCCAGCTGCATGCACTGATTGACCAGAAATATTCCAACAGGCTCGTTCATGAAAAGTCGATCCATAGGTCAACTTCTCATGAACAGGATGGAAATCCATGTATGGCCAGCTGTAGTTGTGTAGAAATAACATCACCTACACAAGATACCTGTAGAGCAAGCTTCTATGCTACCCTCATTAATATCACTGTCTTTGTTTAGAGTAAGACATAGGAAACCTCCAGGTAACTTTTAAATAAAACTCTGAAGAGTTGAAAAGTACTCTCAAAGTGTCTTAAAAACTGAATCTCTACAGGTACCAGTGGAAATGGCACAGGCACCCTCCGTACAGAGTATCACCACCAGTCGTCAGGTTCAAATACCAGCAAACGAATCTTCAAAACTGTCAGTGGACCGGGATCAGGGCTTCCTCCCCAAAGGCTGGGAAATGCGGCACGCACCAAATGGAAGACCTTTCTTCATAAATCATGTCACTAAAACTACTACATGGGTATGTGGTTTACATTCATATGATGTTACAAATTAAATGGTATCGGTAAATAGTTTTAATATACTATGTAAATATGAGAGATGATTATAAGCAAGGTATTCATTCAAAATATGTTGTATGCATTTTATAGGTATCTGCTGCATTTTTAATTGTGGAAAACATCATAGTGAATGTCCTCCCTCTCAGTGTGCATAGATCATTTTCCGAGATACACATACAGGCTTATTTAATGAGTGAAAGTGCAGTAACCTACTGCAGCCATTCAAATGATTAGAAGAGATTTCTAAATACATTATGATAGCTATGAATATCTGACTGGCCTGATGGTGTGTATGGCTTAAGCTGGCCCTACAGTTGTACTCAAATGTTTACATACCCTTGGTGTACCATTTTTAAAGAAAACCTGAGTGAGCAGACAAAACACATTTCCTTTATTTCTTATGGGATTCATATTCAACTGTAGGTCATAACAGAATGGCACAATCATAAAACAAAAAACATGGTGACAAGTAAACAAATGAAATGACCCCTGTTCAAAAGTTGCATAGCCTTTGTTCTTAATACTGTGTATTCCCCCTTTAGCATCAGTGATAACATGCAGTCTTTTGTAATAGTTGTCTGAGGCCCCGAATTCTAGCAGGTGGTACAGCTGCCTATTCGTCTTGGCAAAATGCCTCCAGGTCATGCACAGTTTTTGGTTGTCTTGCATGAGTGCGTCGTGTATGAGCGCATTTGAGATCTTCCCAGAATAGCTTGATGATATTAAGGTCAGGAGACTGTGATGGCCACTTCGGAACCTTCACCTTTTTTCACCTCCTGTTAGCACTGGAGGTTTAACTTGGCATTGTATTTAGGGTCATTGTTGTGCTGAAAAGTCTACAAGTGTCCCATGTGCAGTATTCATGTAGAAGAGTGCAAATTGCCTGCAAGTATTTTATGATAACATGCTGCAATCATCTTGCTATGAATTTTTACAAGATTTCCCGTGCCTTTAGAGCTCACACACCCCTTAAAATATCAGTGAATTACCACCATGCTTCACAGTGGGGATGGTATTCTTGTCACAGTTGACCAACAACATAGTTCTTATGGTTGTGACCATGAAGCTTTATTTTGGTCTCATCACTCCAGATTACAGTGTCCGAGAAGCTGTGAGGCATGTCAAGGTGTTGTTGGACATATTGTAACTGGGCTTTTTTTTGTGACATTGGCACAGCAAAGGCTTCTTTCTGGCAACTTGACCATGCAGCTCATTTTTGTTCAAGTATCGTTGTATCGTGCTCCTTGAATCAACCACAACATTTTTTTCCAGAGCAGCCTGTATTTCGCCTGAGGCTACCTGTGGGTTTTTCTTTGTATCCTGAACAATTCTTCTGGCAGTTGTGGCTGCAGTCTTTCTTGGTCTGCCTGACCTTGGCTTGGTATCAAGAGATCTCTGAATTTTCCATGTCTTAATAAGTGATTTAAAAGTACTGACTGGCATATTCAAGGCTTTGGATATCTTTCTTTATATAATTTTCCATCTTTATAAGGTTCCATTATCTTGTTATGCAGTTCCTTTATGCTCCCCATGGCTCAGTATCTAGCCTGCTCAGTGCATTCACTTGAGAGCTAACAAACGCACTGACTTTATACACAGACACTGATAGCAATTTAAAATGAAATGAACCTTTAATTGCCATTTTAACCTGTGTGTGTGTCACCTTGTGTGTCTGCACCAATGCCAAACATTCCAGGGAATGTAAACTTTTGATCATGGCCATGTGGTTTAGGTGATTTCTGTTATCACTATAATGTAAAAAGGAGCCAAACAACCATGTGATAATAATTGGCTTCATATGATCACTACCCTTAAATAAAAGACAGTTTTTTGGCATGATCAGCCATATTTTCAGTATCAGCCATATTTTCAATATCATTACCAAAATGTCATGATTTCTGCCAGAGTATGCAAACTTTTAAGCACAACTGTACGTGGTTCAGTTTTTTTGTTGTTGTTTAACCAGTGTGTTAAATGACAAAAAACTGACACAATTCCTTCATCAAACCAAAACCATTCAATATGTCATTGTATTCTGACAGCAGGGAAACACCCCTGCCTTCAGAATGCACAGATCAGCGCTGCATTCTATTGCCTGTGCCACTCAAAGAGCATGAATATACCCATAAGGCAGTTGAACAGGAATCGATTGGTAGATCGATTTCTGTTCAACCACAGTGGCCACACATGGATTAAAATGCGGCCTGTCCCTAATGAAACCGACTGCATTTCGATCCCTGTATGACCAGCTTTTACTGTCTTACATGGAAAGATTTTCTTTCCCAAGTTTAGAAGTCAGGGATTTCAATAAAACTTTACTTGATTTAAAAAAAAAAAATTAAAAAAAAGTTAGGGATTTCACAACTAATTAAAAGCTGTCTCAGATGGGGTCAGAGAATAGTGTCTGGGGAAAAAAGAGGTATAAATAGATACCTTGTTCTTGCACATTTAGGTTTTATATGGAAGACCGGGCAGGTTCAGTATGAAAATATACTGCAAACATTTTACTAAATCTATGAAACACTGTTGCCTGGATCTCTGCAAAAAAATCCTGTCTTGATAAAAACCCAAACGTAACCAAAAACTGTTTCTGTCCCAATTTGGGAGATTTCTCTGTGAACATAAGGGAAGTGAGAGAAAATCTCCCCCAGAGAAATCCAAACAACAATACAAAAACTTACAAGGGTTCTAACCCTTCTCCACTATATGCAAACCTTTAAAAAAAAATTAATAATAGTTTGCCTAGAGTCGGGTTTTTATTAGTATTTTAATGCTACATGCAACTAGTTTAGTGCAACGTGGCTTACCAGAGGTGGTTGGTATCTATCATACAGTACAGAAGACAGAGTCGCACAACATATACTATTCCGAGCAGTTATAATATATTCTTGATTCTTCTAAACTTTCGTTGGTCACAGCTTATCCCTTCCATAACAAAATTTCTGATTTATTGTAGGACGATCCAAGGTTGAGAATTCCAGTTCAGCTAAGGCCAAAGCCACCACCCACTGATCTCTTAGACCTGGGACCACTACCAGTGAGTGAAAAATAAAAAAAAACTAAATAGGGATACAAGTCATTCCTTTGTTCTGTTAATTATTGCCGCTTTCTTTCCATGCATTTTCATATGATTGTTTCATCTCTTTCCTTGTACTTTCTCCCAAATCTATCATTAATTCTACCTCAAAGTGGCCTTTCACCAACTATTATTTAAGTTCTAGAAAGAGTTTGGTGGACTATTCACCCACTGGCATTTTATATCACTTGAGAACATAAAGCCTAACTCCAGTTGGGCAAAAAATCCAATATGTCAGTCCTAGGTAGAAGTGAAAAATAGAAAAGCAGCTCTTGTTGTTATACTCACCCGACCTCCCGTGTTGTGCCCTTTAGGCTTACTAATACATTGATGCTGTGCAGCTCCTTTAGGTTGAGTGTCATATGTAAGTCCAGGGCATCCAGGTTCTACCATGCAGCCTGATTGCACAGGTGTGCGACTTCACACTTTTCAGTGTTCAATTTATAATGTTTCTGCAATGAACTTTGCATCTGTATATTGTTATTTCTCATTGCTCTGTTTATCAAATATTTTATTTCTCTTTCAGCCTGGCTGGGAAGAGCGAACACATACAGATGGCAGAGTCTTTTATATTGACCACAGTAAGCAACAATCTGTTTTTGTTTTATTTTATAGGCTGATATGTTTATTTATTTTTTTCAACTATTTTATTTTTGAAATTATTTTTAATACCATAAATGTTTGACTATTGCTGTATTAGGCAGATAGTTTCATAGCTGACATGAACCATGGTAGCCAGAAATTCGATCCACCAGTGTATTCCCATACAAGGCATTATACTAGGGAAAGCTGATATACAGATTGTGAGTGTGCATAATGATTTTAATATGTTATTAACCAGTTCCCCGCCACCCTATAGCAGAACTACTGCTACTTGCCAGCAGCCCTACGCAAAATCATGTGTATATATACGTGATTATGCGTTTCCGGGTAGGGGGCATGCGCGCCTGCCATTGGTGGCTACAGATCACCAGGTCCCGGGCAGAGATTCCCCGGCGATCGCCGAGGAACAGTGAAAGGAGAGAGGTCTGTGTGTAAACATGCATAGCAGAGCAATACAAAGCAGTATTTTTCCCTAGTAAAGCACACACACAGTAAAATAGCACACAGTTAACCCTTTGATCACCCAAGATGTTAACCCCTTCTTGCCCAGTGTCATTTGTACAGTGTCAGTGCTTTTTATTAGCACTGATCACTGTATTAGTGTCATTGGGATGCTAGTGGCAGTTAGTCCCTCCCCAGTGTCAGAATGCCCGCCGCAGTCCTGCTGTAAGTCGCTGATTGCTGCCATTATTTGTATTAAAAAAAAAAAAAATTCCAGTATATATACCGCCATTTGTAGACGCTATAACTTTCACGTAGATCAATTAATTTACATGTATGTATTGGAATTTTTTTTAGCAAAGACGTAGCAGATTACATTTTGGCCTGAATTATGACAAAATTAGATTTTTTTATTTTTTTTTACTGGATATGTTTTATAGCAAACAGTCAAAAATATATATATATTTTTCAATATTGTCAGTCTTTTTTTGCTTATAGCGCAAAAAATAAAAAACGCAGAGGGGATCAAATACCACCGAAAGAAAGCTCTATTTGTGGGGAAAAAAAAGTCATAAACTTCATTTGGGTACAGCGTTGCATGACTGCGCAATTATTTAAAGTAACGCAGTGCCGTATCGCAAAAAATGGCCTGGTCAGTAAGGGGGTGAATATTCTGGAGGGCAAGTGGTTAATTTTGTACTCTTGTTCATTTCAGACACAAAGAAAACACAGTGGGAAGATCCACGATTACAGACTGCAGCAATAGCTGGGCCAGTAAGTTTCTGTATTTTCTCTGATCCTCTTGAATCACTGTGATTTTATATTATCGTGGTAAATATTTATTTTTTAATGTTGCTTTTTTTTTTTATTAAGACAATACTACATTGTTCTTCACGACTGCCATTACTGTATAACCAACAATATGTATGTTTTAACAGCCCCTTTTTACCTGCATTATTTATTAAAACAGCTAGTTAGTGCACATTGTAACATAGTTGGTCTTCGAGTTCAACCAATAATACAAGTTTCTTTTTTCTTGTAGCTGTATGCCACACACATGCTCTGCCACACACATGCTCTAGAACTGAAATGTCCAGCGCAATTTTGGATTAAAACACTGCTTAGTGCTGCACAAACTAGCTAGCATTTACATATGAGGACTGTGATATTATTTACATTTTTTCATTTATTTTTTGAATAAGGTGGAACTTAGTGTGGTTATAAAGGCAGAAGTTTTTTTACCTTAATGCCTTCTAGCCCCCTAAATACTTTCCCAAGCCCGATCTTGATCCAGCGTGTTATGCATGAGAGCAGCAGCTCTTGACTCTCTCTCCTCATTGGACAGAGAGTCAGCAGTGGCATTTATTGGCTGCTGCTGCTGCTGTCAATCACAGCCAGTGAGCGGGGGGGGGGCAGGTTCAAGATATGCTTTGTGTGTCAATGGACACACAGAGCTGGATCGGGAGTGAGCATGCAGGATTGTTCCTATAGCTAGCAGCTTGCTATGGGGGAGCTCGGCAGGAGGTTGACCCAGGAGCGTCGGCGGAGGACCTGAGAAGAGGAGGATCGGAGCTGCTCCTGAGCAAAACCATTGGAGTAGGTAAGTATACCTTGTTTGTTAATTTTTTTTTTTTTTAATAAAAACATGTGCCCTTACAATCACTTTAAAACAGAGCTCCAGTCTCCTATGTAAAAATGAAAAGTCAGCAGCTACAAAAACTGTAGCTGCTCACTTTTAATAAACAGCAACTCGCCTGTCCTGCGTACTAGCACTGTGCTCAGCCCAGCCGTTTCATCCTGCGCACTGTGACTGGTTCGGCAGTATTCTGGGACCTGTCACGTGTCCCAGAAGACTGCAGAAGGGAGGGGGGAAAAAGAATTTTTGCTTCCGATTGCCTAGGCGGTCGAAGCGGAAGTGGGAGCGGGTACCTGTGAAAATCGGGTATCTGCTACCCCCTTCCCAAAAGCTCCATTTCAAAAACAGGAACTGGGGAGAAGGCCTTAAAGCAAAACTTTTCCTTTTGGGTGGAGCTCCACTTTAAGTTACCCTGTATACTATGTACTTGTCTCAATTTAGAGCGCTAAGTGTCATTTTTGTCTCCTGCCTCATTCCTCTGCTATCTGCATGAGTCGCTTACTTCTGACACCAAGAGGTAAAAACTTGACAGTGAGGGAGCACTAGAACACAGTTTGTGATTTACAGCCTCAATTTTGTTTCTTTGTGCTGCATGAAGGGGGGTATTCCTTCCCTTTCGTCCAATCAGCTCTGATCACTAAGCGCTGCAAAGTGTAACTTAAGCTCCCCACCCCCTACTTTCTGAAAGCTCAGACAAGCTGTACACATTCTGCACTTCGAACTAATGTAGAGCCAGGGAAAGTTGATACAGGAATATCCGATTGCCTCTCGAGGGATCAGGAAGGAATTTTTTTCCCAGCAGGAGCAAATTGGATCATGTTTTGCTGGGGGGTTTTTTTGCCTTCCTCTGGATCAACTGTGGGTATAAGAATTATAACTTTTTTTTTTTTTTTTAATGGTTGAACTGGATGGACTTTTGTCTTTTTTCAGCCAGACTAACTATGTAAGAGCCGTGAAGACTGCAGATAAATAGGTAAAACTTTTGTAGGAGGATTTGTTTCCTTGAGGCTAGTCACTTCATTGTGTATATGTAAGGTATATGTTAATCCACTTTAGTCACAGAGGAGATGCTTCACACTAAAAATAGCACAAAATACAGCTTACTTAATAAAAGGTTTCAATTGAAGTTCTTATACATCATTGAATATACCCGGTTTCCTAAATATTATTTTAAAATTCTCCATTTTTTTTGCTTTGAAGGCTGTGCCTTATTCACGGGATTACAAAAGAAAATATGAATATTTCCGGAAAAAGTTAAAGAAGCAGGTAAATTTCTCCCAAACAGCATTGTGGTAGATCCGTTGATGCACAGTGATCTTGTTAGTAAGAAGAGGCAAATGTAGAGTTAGGGTCTGTGTCGAAGAGCTTTTGTTTGTGTCGAAGAGCTTTTGTTTGTGTCAGGTGTGTTTTGCATACCCATGCAATTTTATGGTAATGAAAAACCTGATTAAAGCAACTCAAATGCAGGTTAGGAGGAGGTCAATAGTGGATCAAATGCACCTGTCACTGAACTGGGAATGATCTCAAAAGTCCAAAATGTACTGATAGAATTACTAGTGTCTCAGTTAAATTTGGCACTTTTTATTCATTTCATTCTATAATTTTTATCCCAAATATGGCATTTAAAATGTATTTTTTTTTTCTGTTCAGCTGTGTTTTCAGATTATGTTGGCCATTGACACAGATTGATTTTGCCTGTTCAAGTTAATTGAAGTCAGTGTGGGAATTGAATTCTGTCTGCATTCTAAAGGAGGACAGTGGGTACTAACCTGTCTGATTGTGTCTGAGAGCATTTTCAGATACACCCTGGTCTATTGTATATTGTGGCAAAAAATTAATTGCCCTGGTTGGATTTTCCAGTTGGTCATTATTACTCAACACAAATAGGGCAGGACACCACCGTGCAAAAATATGCTTGCTCAACTGATAAATGCACATGTATGGTTCGACCAGTCATTTAAACAAAATTTAGTGGTCATATCTTCTGACTTTTATCTATTGATTTCTGTTCTTTCACTCACTTGTTTTCTTTACTGTGACAGTTTCATGTTAAGTGTCAATTTCTACTTCTAGAGTATACAGATCAATTAGGTAGCATAATTTTACAGCAAAACCTGTCATGGTAAAAACATGGAGTCTGATCTCTAGTTTTAAACATGCTGGTTGCCTGACTGTTCCCTGGTTGCCTCTCTTGCTTTAGTAGTCTGAGCTGCTCACCTGGAATGAGTAAAGACTCCTGACTTTCTGATCTACATACATGTTGCAAGTCAGTAACTCACTAACTGCCAGGCAGCTAGCATCTTTTAGACGCAGGCAACTAATGCATTTCTGCAAAAAGGGAGTTGATAAAGTTCATGTTAAAATTAACCAGCTAACTACTGGTGAGAGCAAGATGACTGATCAGGATGTTTGTTTTAGCTTGATATTCCTAATAGGTTTGAAATGAAGTTGCGTCGTACAGCCATATTTGAAGACTCCTACAGGAGGATAATAGCAGTGAAAAGGCCTGAGTTCCTTAAAGCACGACTCTGGATTGAATTCGACAATGAGAAAGGCTTGGATTATGGAGGAGTTGCTAGAGAATGGTTCTTCCTAATTTCCAAAGAAATGTTCAATCCTTATTATGGCCTCTTTGAATATTCAGCAACGTAAGTATGTTTACAGTTGTCAGGGAAGCTCTAAAGCTATATAAAGGTGCAATGAAAATAGCTTTTTTCTGTACACAAATTGTACAAAGCACGTTCAGTTTTTATGTGCTCACAAACCCTTCTTTAACCTCACAAGTAGATGACATGTTCTGCTACATCACACCATATAATCTTTGTAAGGATGTCCCACTGTTCCACTAACAAAGTAGTTGTTAACAAGTTATTCATCCAATTCACTGCAAAATAAAATTAACTCTCCTGATAAACTAGAAGGAAGATTCAAATCTTTTTTGGAAAATGCACTATAACCTTGCAATTTTGTGGGCACCATTATATATTACTTATTTCAAATGAAATAGATCAGTATGTAATGTTCATCTGCCATGTAAATGGTACTTAGAAGTAGGGCTTTCCCCACCCGTTTATACTTACCTAGGTGGATGCAGCATCGGTCCTATGCTGCATCTGTCCCCCGCCGACCCTAAGGGTGAGAAGGGACCTAAGGGTGAATTGTCACAGCCGCTCTGACTGACTGTCAGTCACCGCTGTCTGCTGTGCTCCTCCCAGGGGGAGGGAGCAGCTGGTTCAGGCTCTCAGCGGCTCACTGAGAGGCTGAGCCAGGTGCCGCTCCAGGCTCTGGGGTAGATCCCGACTTTGAAGTTGGGATCTGTCCCCAGCCTGGACCGGCTGAGTGACGTCAGTTCACAGCGGACTTCAATCCGTTGTGAACTGAAAATGTGTCACAGGAGTGCAGAACTAACTGCACTCCTTTGATCCACAGGAGAAGTACAGCTAAAAAAAGCTTTGGCTATATTTCTCCTTTTAAAAATAGCATTAAATATGTGCAGTGTCTCAAGGATTACATTATCGCCATTTGAATTTAATTATGTAAGTGAATTTTCATGTGGAAGAATACTGACACTGGCTTCTGATTCTCTTTACAGTGATAATTATACATTGCAGATAAATCCAAACTCTGGCCTGTGCAATGAAGACCATCTTTCCTATTTCAAATTTATTGGCCGTGTGGCTGGGATGGCAGTCTATCATGGAAAGCTGCTAGATGGTTGGTTTATGTTTTATATAACTTTCCATAACCACAGCATTAGGTAACATAGGGACACGTTTTATTCCGTTTATTCCGTGTGTATGTGTGTGTGTGTGTGTGTGTGTGTGTGTGTGTGTTAGATGGCATATGATATGTTTCCGTTAACAGAAGCTGTTTTGCAGATTATAAAGTGGGCAGAAACTTAGAGTAAGATCCACTGGACAACAAGTCCTGTACAAACAATTACTTGTTTTTAACACCCAACTGTGAATGCGTATTTTGTAGTGTTTTTCTAACTTGGAACCTGTTTATGATAGATTTGCCATATTATGGAAAATGTTCATGAAATAGCCCAGTACAAAGTCCATCCAAGCAAAAATTAGTTTGTTTTTTTTTCTTCTTGTAGACTGGCAATGCTGAATGAAATACTTTAAATGTGTGATCTGGATGGAATCATTACTATACTTAATTTGTTTTCCTAAATGTCCTACTTGTTTCATCAAGTGAAACACAAAGAAATAACCTATTCTTTTTTAAAACGCATACGTTTGCTCAGAGTTATGCAGGTAGATGTATTATCTTAATTGTACAGTACAGAACCTGAGGCAAAGTATTCACAGACCCTAGGTATAGGCTTGATCCTCACACCTATAACACCAACCCCGGCATCCAGTGCTTGCCTATACCTCTGATATGCAGCAAGCTACCAAAAAAGCTGTCAAAAGAGGAATTTTCTGCATCCATGGCACAATTCCTCAGACAAATAATGATTTTAATAAATGCCAGTTCTGTCTGAAACATTATCCACCATGCTCATCTCCTAATCCAGCAGTCTCCTTTAGCGTTGGATCCTGAATTGCCCACCCATAATTAGGCAAACACACAAAAGGTGCAGGAGGACCTGGAGAAAGTTGCAAAAAGAACCTTGGAAGATATCTCTATCCCAAGCCCTTTTGTACAGGTTACTATAGCATCACATGGTCAGTGTGCTGATGCAGAGCTGTTTATCTCTGATGCAGTCATGTTGGAACAGGAAGGAGCCATCTCCAAACTGTTCCCACAAAGTTGAGAGTATGAAATTGTCTAAAATGTCTTGGTATGCTGATGCCTTAAGAGTCCCCTTCACTGGAACTAAGGGGCAAGTCCATCCCCTGAAAAACAACCCCACACCATAATTCCCCCTATACCAAACTTTACACTTGGTCAACAACTCACCCAAGCTCTACTGCTCATCAAAGGAATGTGAATGGAGCGCTGGTGTTCAGGCTGGTTTTTAGATCCAAGATTTGTTACAGAATAGCTGGCAACTCATATCCTTATCATGTATGCTTTATTGGCACACAGTAGAGGACATAGAATACATGAAATCTGACGGGTTTCAGCCACAGTGTTTGTCAAAGCTTACATAGAAAAAAATAAAATTCAAACTTATATAACATAGCAGCCCACAAAATTAGGGGTGGTACATGCTTAATTAAAATTATTCAGTTTAAATGATTGCAGGTGAAAGTGAAGCAATAGCATTGCAGAGAAAAAGAAGAAAAAGAGAAAACTTCATCTAATGCACTTGACTGCAAGCATCCTAATGCTAGAGCAGCACAATAAACTAAAACTCTCCTAAACATGGATGTCCGCAAATTGAACATGAAAATAATGAGTCATATCTTAATTATTTCAAGAAAAGATTAACAACCATTCTATTGTTTAGACCAAAAGGGACCCTGGTATTGAACATATAAATCCACCACACTTCACATTTAATAAGGCGCAGTGTACATCTCCTCCTCTTACAGGTTTTCTTACATGTTCCAAACCAAGGAAAGAAAAGGAGTCACGGTTCCCACCATGCTTCTCTCTGAAATGTTTAGAAACATTAGAAATATATTTAGTGCATGGATTATTGGTGTCATTATAGTGTTCAGATATTCTGACTCGTAATGAAGGAATAGTACATCCCACATATTGGAGACGACAAGCACTGCATTCTATAGTATAAATTTAAGACTAATTGGTGCTACGCTATCTCCAAATATAAGAACTTATAATTGCCTTACAGAAGTCCCCCTCAATGTACTAATTCATAAATATAATAAAGGGGTTATATATACCAAATCAAATATGGCACAACAGTGACATTACCAAGAACTGGACATCCCTCCAAAATTGATGAAAAGACGAGAAGAAAACTGGTGTGGGAGGCTGCCAAGAGGCCTACAGCAACATTAAAGGAGCTGCAGGAATATCTGGCAAGTACTGGCTGTGTGGTACATGTGACAACAATCTCCCGTACTCTTTATATGTTTGGGCTATGGGGTAGAGTGGCAAGACAGAAGCCTTTTCTAACGAAGAAAAACATCCAAGCCCGGCTTAATTTTGAAAAAACACATCTGAAGTCTCCCAACAGCATGTGGGAAAATGTCTGATAAAACCAAGGTTGAACGTTTTGGCCACAGTTCCAAAAGATATGTTTGGCACAAAAACAACACTGCACATCACCAAAAGAACACCATACCCACAGTGAAGAATGGTGGTGGCAGCATCATGTTTTCTGGCTGTTTTTCTTCAGCTGGAACTGGACCCTTAGTCAAGGTAGAGGCAATTATGAGCAGTTCCAAATACCAGTCCATATTGGCACAAAACCTTCAGGCTTCTGCTAGAAAGATAAACATGAAGAGGAACTTCATCTTTCAGCATGACAACAACCCAAAGCATACATACAAACAAACAACAAAGTAATGGCTTCACCAGAAAAAAATTTAAGTTTTGGTATGGCCCGGCCAGAGCCCAAACATGAATCCGATCGAAAATCTGTGGGGCGATCTGAAGAGGGCTGTGCACAGGAGATGCCCTCACAATCTGCCAGATTTGGAGTGTTTTTGCAAGGAAGAGTGAGAAAATGTTGCCAAGTCAAGATGTGCCATGCTGATAGACTCATACCCAAAAAGACTGAGTGCTGTAAAATTCAAAAGGTGCTTCAATGAAGTATTAGTTTAAGGGTGTGCACACTTATGCAACCATATTATTTTAGTTTTTTATTTTTACTTCCCTCCACTGAAAAGATTTCAGTTTGTTGTTCAACAAAATTGTACAGTTTATAGATTACATTAACCGTTTCCCGCCCGCAATGTACTGCGGCAGAGCGGCAGCTATAGGCAAAGCGATGTACTCATACGTCGCTCTGGCTGTACTAACACAGGGGGGCGCTGCACACCCGAGCGGGTGCTCAGTGCTCCCTCCTCGCAACTGCTGTGTCCAGCGGACACAGCAGAATGAAGATCCTGGTGAACGGGACCCGGTGATCATGTGATTGCTATGCAAGCAAAGCTGTTATCATTCAGTCTCATTCATAACAGCTCTGTTTCTCTTCCTGGTGAGCTGTGATTGGCCCAGAACTGTCACATGATACATGGGGTCAATCACAGCACCCGTACCATGTGACCAGCTCCAGCCAATCACAGATCACTATCCTGAGCTGTCAAAACTTTACAGTTCATGAATCAGTTAGGTTCTGACAGCAAGCTTTGCATTGCAGGAGAAATGATCTTTATTTCACCTGTGAAGCAAAGCGTAAAAAAAAAAAAAAAAAAATCCCTGATCACCCCCAATGTTAGGGTTAGTTAGCTCCCCACCCAGCCAGGGTCAGCTAGCGTTAGATTGCCTGCACACTATCACACTCACACTCATTCCCCCCCCCCCCCCCCCCCCTGCTGCCTTCCACAGATTTCTTGAGCTCTCCTGTCCCACAGGGGAATCCAAGAATTCAGCCAGCAGTTCCGCTGGCTGACCATAGAGCTAATCAGAGGCCAGAATGGCTCCAATCATCTATAAAGTCTAAGAGACCGGAAGCTACCAGCATTTCATTACTTCATTTTCGCAGGATATAAACAGCGCCATTTGTAAATTGGGAAAGCATCTGATCACACTGATCTTGGTGAGATTAGATAATGTAAGGGCAGAGGAGAGATCTAGAGTCTGATAGACCCCAGATTTCTCAAAAAAGAATATATGACAATACCCATTGAAGTTATAGGGGATATTTGCATTCCCTGTGATAGCATTAAAAGTGATCCAAAAAAAGAAAGGGACAGTGTAAAAATAATTGTAAAAAATCAAAATAACTGGAAAAAAAAAATAAAATCACCCTTGCCTCCCTGCACGCACGCACGCACCTGCGTGTGCAAGCGTTGTCCCTATGCCGGTATGTAAACATCGGTTGCACCATGCAGGTGAGATATCACAGCGAATGTCAGATCGAGGGCGGTAATTCTAGCACTAGACCTCCTGTGTACTGCCCTGGTATTTTAGCACCTCAAGAAATGTAATAGGCTGTCAGAAAATAAAAGCTACGTAAATTCCAATATATATACCATAGTTTGTAGACGCTATAACTTTCACACAAACCAATTAATATACATGTATTGAGATTTTTTTTTTACCAAAGACATGTAGCAGAATGCATTTTAGCCTAAATTTATGACTAGCTTTGAGTTTATTGGATATTTTTTATATCCAAATTTGTAAAATATTGAGTTTTTTTTTCAAAAATTTGTTTATAGCGCAGACATTAAAACCTGCAGAGGTGACCAAATACCACCAAAAGAAAGCTCTATTTGTATGAAAAAAGACATAAATTTTGTTTGGGTACAGCATTGCACGACCGCGCAATTACCAGTTGAAATAGCTCAGTGCCCAACAGCAAAAAATGGCCTGGTCAGGAAGGGGGGAAATCCTCGGGAGGGAAAGTGGTTAAAGGTGGTAAAAGTTCAGAAATGTTTATCTTTGTCTAATTTTTTTACATCACTAAAACCTGACATTTTAACGGGTGTGTGTAAGCCTGGAGGCTGAATGTGTATTTCTTTTAGGTTTGCCACCTCATTCCTTTAAAACCAAACACATATTAATTACACAGGTTCTGAGGCTGATTAAGGTGGTAATGAAACTCACTTAATGCCTTATCTGCATTAAATTAGCCCCAGAACCTGTGTAATTAATGTGTTTGGTTTTAAAGGGATGAGGTGGCCACCCTAATCTCTGGATGGAAATGCTGAAAACTCCTGTGAGGGAAAACTCATTGATTTTCTTTTCTGGAAGTTTTTTTGTACTTGGTTTTAATAAAATTGGGCAAGAAAATCCCTTAAAAAGAAGAAAAGCAAGTGGTGATGTCCTTTAAAGCTCTACTTTGATTCTTGTTCTCACTATATAAAAAGTGGGTATAGAAAATAAACACCTCCCTTTAAAATAATCATATTTTGTTGCTTTGCAGCCTGAAATTAAGGCATACACTGTTTTTGCTTTTTCCAGCTGTATTTACTCAGTACAACTTTTATAATATCGAAGTAAGAGATATAACCTCAACATATCAGAATTTAAAAAAAAATCAAAAAACAGAATTGCCGAGTTGGAAATAGGATCATCCCCTTGTGTCAGTATTTTGGCAAACCACCTTATGCTTTAATTCCAGCCTTTAGTTTGTTGGTATAGGTCTCTACTATGCAATATTTGCCCACTCCTCTTTGCAGAACTGCTCAGGTTCAGTTATATTTGATGGTGACCATTTGTGGACTGCAGTCTTCAAGTCATTCCACAGATTTTCAATAGGGTTTAAGTCTGGACTCTGACTAGGTCATGCAAGGACATTCACTTTTATCTCCTTCAACCACTGTGTGGTCATTTTTACTGTGTGCTATTAGGCTTCCCATTCACAACTTTCTGGCAGATGGCAGCAGATTTTCCTCAATAATTTGAGGTATTTTGTTCTTTCCATTCTTCCTTCTACCCTGACGAGTGTTCCAGTCCCTGCTGCAGAGATACACCCCCATAACAGGATATTACCACCTCTTTGCTTTACTGTAGGAATGGTGTTATTTGGATGGTGAGCTGTATTGGTTTTCCGCCAGACATATCGTTTAGTGTTGAGGCCAAGTAATTAAATTTTAGTCTCATCTGACCTTAACACCTTTTTTCCATTTGGCCTCAGAATCTTCAAGGTGCGTTTTTTGGCAAAGCTCAGTTGTGACTGCATGTGGCCTTTCTTGAGGAGTGGCTTTTTTCTTGCAACCCTCCCATACAGGCCACATTTGTGGAGAATTTGTGATATTGTTGTCACATGCGCACAATGACCACTCTTTGTCATAAATTCCTGGAACTGCTTCAGAGTTGGTGTAGACCTCTTGGTAGTCTCCCTGACCTATTTCCTCCTGGTTCTTTCATCCAGTTTGGAGCGACGTCCTGATCCAGGGAGGGCCTGTGTTGTCTGTGTTGTACTAAATACCTTCCACTTCTTAATAATAGACTTCACTGTGCTTCTAAGCATTGATAGAGCCTTTGACATTTTTTTGTATCCATCTCCTGACTTGTGCCTGTCCACAACTTTATCCTGGAGAACTTTTAACAGTGCTTTGCCAGCTATAGTTGATTGTTAGCTTCAGTTGCACTACCAGAGAATTAAATTCTCCAGGAAAGCTCTTTTCATGCTGAGCTAGTCAAAATGACCACAGCTGATCACAGTTAACAGTCAAATGGCTTTGTGTGCCATTGAGAAGGTGATTAGCTACACCTGATTGAGTTTACAAGTTATTCTTAGGAGGGATCCTTTTTCCAACTCGGTTATACTGTTTTTTAATTTTTATATTTTATCCTGACATGTTGGTGTTAAATCTTTCACTTGGATGTTATAAGTAAATACAGCTGGATAAAGGGGGTGATTCTTTTCTCTATACTCACTGTATATATGTGTGTGATATATATAATTTATTTTGTGGCATGGTTGCACTTTATATTACTACATGTTTGCCCAGCTATTTTTTTGCTCACTATTTAATGTTTATTATCATTTATTGCTTGTAGCAAGTAGTTTTAGCATTGCTCCACTTGATTTTTACAGATTGACTCAATTTTTGGGCTTGGGGTTACCCCTGTCCCTTTCCTGTAGGTCTATATGAAAATGCTTCAGAACTAAGATTGCAAGCTTCAGCTTAATTTTTAACTCAATATCCTTTTTACCATCTTCTGCCTATTTTGAGACCCTGCTGTGAGGGACTCTGAGATGACAGAACCCACTCACTGAACTTCTCCATTAGTATGGGTGGTGGATCCCTCCCATTCAACGGCCTTTTCCCAATCGTCACACCTTAGACATTCCTAATGTCACTTGCGCCCCAAAAGGGAAATTTTTCATTTTCTGTGAGCGTTGCGTAGAACTATTCTGCACAAATAAGTTTTACTAGGGGTTATGCCCGTTCCATTATGTAGGCAAGAGTCTCTTATCAGGGGTTTTTCTCAGGTACCACTCCCCAGATGGCGTGAATGTTTTTTTTTTCCCTTTCCAAGTTCTTGAAAGTGGAACTTTACCCAAAAAGGGGAAGTTCTGCTGTTTCTCCTGCCCCCTACTTCTCTGACATATTTGGCACCTGATTGTTTTGGGAGGGGGCAGCAGGTACCTGGGTTTGACAGGTAACTGCTCCTACTTCTGCTCTCCCTGCCCGCAGTCCTTTGAGACACGTCACAAGTCCCAGAAGACTGTGGGACCATTCGCAAGGCACAGCTTGGCTTGCACATGCAAAGTGGGCAGCAGGCTGTGCAGTTGCAAGCATTCACAGCCAGCTGCCTGCAGTTAAGATGTTGGCACTGGGGACAGAAGACCAGTGAAGAAACCGGCCTGGGTGAGGACACCGATGGATCCGGGGACAGGTGACTGACTGTTTATTAAAAGTCATCAGCACAGTGGCTAAATGGTTAGCAAATCTGCCCGGCAGTACTAGGGTTGTTGGTTTGAATCCCACCCACGGCACCTCCTGCCTGGAGTTTGCATGTTCTCCCTGTGCTTACTCCGGTTTCCTTCCGGAACTCCAAAGACATGCTGGTAGGATCTAAATTGGCCCTAGTTTTTGTATGTATGAATGTAATGTAGCAACCTTAGATTGTACGGCCCTTGAGGGTTAGGGACTGATGTGAATGTAGAATATATATGTAAAGCGCTGCGTAAATTGGCGGCACTATATAAGTACCTGTAGTAATAATAATACAGTTTTTGTAGCTGCTGACTTAATTTTTACAAATGTCACCGGAGAACCACTTTAAGTAGTTAAGTGGTTAGCACTGCTGCCTAGCAGCACTAGGGTTGTCTATTTGAATCCCAACCATGGTACTACCTGCCTGGAGTTTGGAGTGTGTGTGTTTGTTTCCACCACTTCATTACCTGATCATCCCCCCCCCCCCCTCCATATCCTATGAGATGTCCCCAGTTTTGGACAGTAGTGGATCCGGGGTTACTCTGATAGGTTGGGCACCTGTTGCGGTGGTTTTCCCTCATCTGTGTCCTGCACTGACTGTTGAAAATAAGAGGAATTTGGCTTACCTGTAAATTCCATTTCTTGGAGTACAGTACAGGGCACAGGTCACATCCTGGCAGGGTAGGCACCCAGGGGGTGTGTGCTCAGGAGCTTGCTAGTGTTCAATCACCTGAAGTTACAAGTCTTTAACCAAGGATCTATGAATCATTTGCCTGTATCCTGTATTATACTCCAAGACATGGAATTTACAGGTAAGTAAAAATTTCTCTTTTCTGCCAGTTCATTGTATGTATTTTTCTAAAGACTTTTATTTTTACAGGGTTCTTCATCCGACCATTTTATAAAATGATGCTTCAGAAGGCAATAACACTGACGGACATGGAATCTGTGGTAGGTATCAATTTATTGAAATGCAAGTATTAGCATGTCATGTAATCATTCCTTTATATAATTATATGTGGCTTATGTTTGAGCTTACTCTTGATAACTTGCAACCAAAGCTTCATACATGTATTTTCACCGCAAGTATGCAGGTCATTACAAAAGCTTGGCAGACTATTACCTTAAACTCTTCCAAAGGGAAAGCACAATTAGCATGGATGGTGGTTAATGAAAAAACAGTAATGCTGTTGAATACAGTAGCAAAATTACATATGACATTGATACCGCTCTAATTTAACTACAGTTTTCTGAATATAAACAATATTTCAACCCAAGAGCTCTCAAAGGAGGTTGGCTATAGCTGCAGGTCCTGCTTCCACCTACTCCTACCTCCCTTATTTGTGGCTAATGTTCTTGTAGTCTAATTACCCCATGGCCCCCTGCATTCTTTATACTACACTATTTTCATAACGCCTAAGCTGGGTACACACTAGCTAAAAATCGGCTGGTTCAACAGGAACCGGCTGACTTTTGGTCAGTATGTACATCTGTCTGTCTGAAAGAAGCTGGTCTAACAGCCAGCAATTGTTGAAAGGACATGCCAGAAAACCATCGTCCAATCAGTGCTGATCAAGGAATTCTGGCCCGTGGAGAGTGGGAGAGCCTCCCCGCTGTCAGAATTCAATAAAACAGCAGAGGAGATCGCTGCACCAATAGCACTTGTGTTGGCAGTGATTTTCTCGTAGATACAAGTCACAACCCGTATTACATCCTTTTATGAACACATTGTAGCACCAGTTATAAACTATCTTTTCAATGTACAGCGCTGAGAAAACCTTTTAGCGCTATATAAATACTGTATAATAATAATAATATATGTTCAGACTATGCTTCTGTATTTAAATGTAAATCCAATGACAAAAGCATACGAATACAGATCATGTTTCAAATTATTTTTTTCCATTAGAATCTTATTGTGTAATTATCTATAGTGTATTTCATGTTTGACACTGACAGCTAAGTATAATTTTAGCTAAACAGCTAACTAGCCCTAAAAGTGTTCCCACCCTCCTAACAACTATGCTAAATTATCTGTGTAAGAAAGATATATATATATACTTGCTATTTTCAGGCCGCTTCAGTCTTGCTTTACTGTGCCGGCCAGCATGGCTGCAGAGGAGAAGAGGGGGATGCCTACAAAGGTTGAGCCATTCATGCCCATGGGTGACGTCACCTTGCCAGGCTTCACTAACTGTTGTCAGAATGCTATCTCCTATCCCTGCAGTCGCAGCTGACTGTCACAGGGGAGATCACATGACAAGACTGGCCTGAAAATAGGTTTGTTGTGCAATGAGTTCAGTAATGTAAGTACATTGGTATGTCTAAAATGTTTTAATGCCTTGTTTATGTACCTTTTCTTCTTTATAATGCATTGTGGTCATGTGACCAAAATGCCTGTTTGTTCATCCTGGAAATTCGGCCAGAGGGCATCTCCCCTCCTCTGCAGCTTCCTCCACTGCAGCCTCCTCGTTCATATTAAACATAAGAACTCTAAATGGAGCAGTGTCGGAAGGAATGGGGGGGGGGGGGGGTGCTGTGTTACTTTCAAAGACATTGACAACAGTACAAGCAAGTGCCTGTAAGCAGCCACATTGGGCTTCCCAGGAACACTTGTCTGTGTATCAGAGGAGGATTGCTGAATGTCTAGAGTATAATTCATAATATAAAAGTTTTTATTTCTTATTCATTTATTAAAAAGGTTTTTTTTTTTGTTTTTTACCTGGAATTCCACTGTAACCAATAGCCGCCCGGCCAATAGCCTTTTGGCAGCCAACAAAATGCTGTAGATTTCCGGGTGGACGCCATATCCCGGGCATGCACAGTTTTCCCGCTTGCAGAGCCGCGCAGCGGCACGATCTGTCACCAGCCGTGTACCTCGGACACGGCCGATGACAGATCTGAGTACTGGCCCCCGTTGCTGGTACCATGTGACCTGCTGTGACCAATCACAGCAGGTCACATGACAGTTGTATACAATGGATGGCTTCATTCATGCCATGCATTGTCTACTACAGTCTAGCTGTAAATGGTCACAGCGATCACATGCACATGTCATGTGATTAGCTGTGGCCAAATCACAGCTAAGCACAAAAAAAAAAACAAAACTCCTGAATGAATTGATGTCATTCAGGTAAATGCTTGCTTATAGCAAAGTAATTCTTTGCTATAAGCAAATTATGTAAAAAAAAAAAAAAAAAAAATACTGATCACTTCCCCAAAGTAGTACAATGTTACTATGGTAACATTATACTACTTTGGACATAGTGAAATATGATCTTAAAAAAAAAGGAAAATAATGTAATAAAAAATTAAAAATAATTACAAAAATTAAAAAAAAAAATATATATATTTTTTTTTCATACTGTGACCAGTCAGTGTCCCTGATCACCGCTATGCCAGTTATATGATGACACTGTACTGCACTGGTGACAGTATGTAAAAAAAAAAAATAGTGAAAATATTTTTTTTCATTTTTTTTATTTTCCGAAAAATTATGACAAAAAAAATACAACTTCAAAAACTCACCATGCCTCTTATGAAGTACGTCGGACTGTCTACTGTGCAAAAGGGGGTCATTTAGGGGATATCTGTACTGTTCTGACATTCTTGGACCTCAAGAAATTAGATTGGCTGTCAGTACTTCAGGATTGATCAATATTCAGATCTATACCATAGTTTGTGAACTCTGTAACTTTCCTACAAACTAAAAAATACATCCTAATTTGGGTTATTTTCACCAAAGACATGTAGTAGAATACATCTTGGCCTAAATTTATGAAGAACAATTATTTATTTGCAAACTTTTATAACAGAAACAAAGAAAAACGTGTTTTTTTTTTTCAGAATTTTCGGTCTTTTTTTGTTAATTTATCAAAAAATAAAAACCCCCAGCGGTGATTAAATACCTCCAAAAGAAAGCTCTAGTTGTGTGAAGAAACTGATAAAATTTTAGTTTGAGTGCAATGTTGTATGACCGCACAATTGTCATTCAAAGTGTGAGAGCGCAGAAACCTGAAAAATGGCCTGGGAGGGAAGGGGGTAAAAGTGCCCAGTATCGAAATGGTTAAGATAATGAAAAGGAAAAGTGTGCTAACATAAAAAAAACATGTTGCCAGTAACAACCAGAGCGCTTCCAACTCTCATTTCTGTGCTGCAAATTTGAAAATAAAAAGTAAACTCCTTTTCATACCCAAGTTCTTTTAGCTCTAAAATGTAGTTAAAATGCATGACCTCAACTGATTAACAGACTCAGCAGATTTATTTCAGCAGTGGCTTTCTGTGTAGTTCTGCGTGTCCGAATAGCTGGCTTTGTAAGGACTATGGTAGCCATAAAAGTGTTGATAAATTATTTTCTGGACAATCTCTTCCAATAGAAATAATCGTTTTATAGTTGACAGCCCATTTGATCGATATGCCACACACAGGGAAGTGGATTTTAATAATTCAGATACAACTGTATCTTGCGAATGTCCGTTATCACTGGTATCTCTGTTTCCACCATGCAAACTCATAATCTGATCAATACGATCATGTTCTTGTGTTGCCAGTGCTGTCCGTTGATGCAAAATGATCGATAATTTTCTGCCCTGGTCGATCAATTCAGTTTGATTGAATCCAATCTAAATCAAGTCAGAATTGAAGATTGAAGTGCAAGACAAGTTATGTATTAGAGTTTTTGCGGCTCCCATCATTTTGATTGAATTGCACAGGTCGGATAATAAAATTGAAGAGCGTGTGGCCACCATTACTTAGAGTAGATACAATAGTAGTGTAACAGTTGGTGCAGAGAGAGGCATTGTATGTTACAATGATTGGCGACATGCGTAATGTCCAATATTTCTGATAACAGTGGCATTTTAATATTTTCTACATTCTTACTTGATTTTTTGTCAGTCTCTGCTCTACCTAAGGCTGCCCATACATGAGTCAGTTTTTTCATTCATCCAGTGGGTTGAACGAAATAAACTAACCTGATTCCCCCCCCATCCACACACCCGCCATCAGAATACACTGACCGACGCTGCTTGCTATAGCCTGTGGTGCTGATTAAGTGGAGGAAAACTTGCATAGGGGTTGATCGATAGATCCACTTTTGCACAAGCACAGTGCCCATACACAGGGGCATATTTGCCGCGAGGCAAACAGGGTGTTTGCCTAGGGCAGCACTTTTTAGGCTACGTTCACACTAGCCTTGTGTGCAGGCGGCAGAGAGGCGTTTGGGAAGCGTTTTTACCGCTTCCCAAACGCCTCTGCCAATTCTGCACATTACAGCACATGGTGCTGTTCTAACGGGAGCGTTTGCGTCGCGTCGCGGCAAAACGGATGCCTCTGGACGAGTCAGGAGGCTTTGAAGCCTCCTATTCTCGTCTATGGTGCCGCTCCGTTTGGCAAGCGTTGGCAAAACAGCCTAGTGTGAACGAGCCCTTAGGGGGTGGCACTGTGCCGCCGCCCCCCCCCCCTTCCAACAGAAGGGACATTTAGTACAGGGGCAGGCAGGGGGCTGCTGTGTCTTACCTGGCTCCGGTCCAAGTCCCACGACGATCCAGTCCAGGAAGCGCTGCTGGAGGAGGGGTAGAGAGGTCCACAGGTCCGCTGCCTGGACACGATGTGTGGGCGGGATGACACCCTCTGCAAGCTCCGCCTCCTCACCGGTGATTGGGCACCAGAACTGTAGCTCAGGAAAGCACACAGGCGGCCAATCACCTGCGAGGAGGCGGAGCCGAGCGGCAGCACGAACATCGAGTGAGGGAGCGGCCGGAGTGAATGAAGGAGGACAGCTGACCACCCAGAAAGTGTGCCGTGCAGATGGTGCTGCTGCAACCAGGTATGCTGGCTGCAGCAGTAGCACCTAGGCTGGAGCAGGGGTCAGCAAGTTAAGTGTCATTGGTGTCAGTGGGAGGAATAGTGCCCCATCATTAGTGTTACTGATACTAATAATGGGGCACTATTTCTCCCCCCACTGACACCACTGATGGGGCACTATTCCTCCCCCCACTGACACCAACGATGGGGCACTATTCCTCCCCCCACTGACACCAACGATGGTCCACTATTCCTCCCCCCACTGACACCAACGATGGGGCACTATTCCTCCCCCCACTGACACCAATGATGGAACACTATTCCTTCCCCCACTGACACCAATGATGGGGTACTATTCCCCCCACTGACACCAGTGTTGGGGCACTATCCCCCCCCCCCCCACTGGCACCAATGACGGGCCACTATTCCCTCCCCACACTGACATCAATGATGGGGCACTATGCCCCCCTCCCCACACTGACACCAATGACGGGGCACTATTCCTCCCCCCACTGACACCAGGGACAGGGCACTATTCCTCCCCCCCCCCCCCCCCACCCCACTGACAGCAAGGACAGGGCACTATTCCTGACACCAATGATGGGGCACTATTCCTCCCCCCACTGACACCAATGACGGGGCACCGTTGGTGTCAGTGGGAGGAATAGTTCCCCACCGTTGGTGTCAGTGGGAGGAACAGTGCCCCACCATTGTTGTCAGTGGGAGGAATAATGCCCCACCGTTGTTGTCAGTGGGAGGAATAATGCCCCACCGTTGGTGTCAGTAGGGGGAATAATGCCCCAACCGTTGGTGTCAGTGGGAGGAATAATGCCCCACCGTTGGTGTCAGTAGGAGGAATAATGCCCCACCGTTGGTGTCAGTGGGAGGAATAATGCCCCATCATTGGTGTCAGTGGGAGGAATAATGCCCCACCGTTGTTGTCAGTGGGAGGAATAATATCCACCGTTGTTGTCAGTGGGAGGAATAGTGCCCCATCATTGGTGTCAGTGGAAGAATAGTGCCCCATCACTGGGGTCAGTGGGAGGAATAGTGACCCATCACTGGTGTCAGTGGGAGGAATAGTGCCCCATCATTGGTGTCAGTGGGAGGAATAGTGACCCATCACTGGTGTCAGTGGGAGGAATAGTGCCCCATCATTGGTGTCAGTGTGGGAGGAAGAGTGCCGTGTCAGTGTGGAAGTAATAGTACCCCATCATTGGTGTCAGTAGGAGGAATAGTGCCCCATCATTGGTATCAGTGGGAGGAATAGTGCCCTATTGTTGGTATCAGTGGAAGGAATAGTGCCCCATCATTGATGTCAGCGGGAGGAATTGCGCCCCATCGTCAGTGGGTGGAGCTCTAATAGGAAGAGGTGGAGCATAAATATGAAGGGGTGTGGTTTACAGATGAAGTGGTGGGTCTTAAACAGGAAGGGGTGGGACAAATTGAGATGCGGCGAGGGGGTGCCCGATTTTAGTCTTGCCTAGGGCAGCACAAAACCAAAATACACCACTGCCCATACATGGATCGAAATTTGCCTGGTCCTTGTTGAACTAACTGAATTTTGATCCATGTATGTGCAGCTTACAACTACACCTTTTATCCTGTATTGGTAAAAAATCACTACAGGAAAGTGAGCATTCAGATGTCTAGACAAATAGATGCAAAGAAGTTCTGTTCTTTTGTTGCTTGCTTTGTTAAATGAGACCAATACATTACAGGTTGAAATTTATTTGTGCACAACATTAACTAATTTGTTTAACCTGCAGTATTGAAGGTGGTCTTTGTCCCCCTTTAATATCTAACCTATTTCTCCCTCAAGTGTAAACATAAGAGCCATCAACTCAATATAGCCAGATGGCCTCTTGTTGACTGTCAAATGGAAAAGACAGCACATGCACTTGGCATCTGCTGTTGACTTTCCTGATAGTCACATGAACAAGGCCATTCCTTAGCAAGAATTTCATATGATGACTTTACTGTGTTTTATTTTATCTTACAAGCAGTCAGGTTTAAAAAAAAACATGATGCTGCTTTATCGCCACACACATTCCACTTTGCTAGTGCACAACCTATGCTGTGTGAATGGATATGCTGAGCTAATTCACATTTCCCCCAATTACTTGAGGTCAAAACTTACAGGGCAACTCAACTTTTGTGAGAAAAAAATGGCAAATAAAAATATAATATACAATTGCAATAAAAGTCATTGTAATTTGAATGTTATTAAAAATTATGTTTCCTTTTCAATCTGCAGCGCTGTAATTTTCTGTAAAATGCAATATGGCTACCTTGAGTGTTCTGTACACAGATGGTGTACAGAAAGCCCTCTAGATATGTCATTTCCTGCTTTTGTGATTGGCTTATTGATTTTCCCAGAAGTTTGCACCAAGATACAAGTCAGATTTTGAGCATCTCCTGCAACAAAAATTTAATTTTTGGTGAGATACTTCCAAAGGGAAATCACGTCTTAGGCTAGGTTCACACCTATGCAGTTTGCTTTTGATGTGTTTCTGCAGTGCTCTTTGTGGTTGCATTTTGCACTAATGCTTTTTTGACGCTTTTTTTTTTTTACTTGTTGCTGGGCAGAATAAAATGCAAAACGCATCAAAAATGCACTACATGCTTTTCTGCAACGTCTCCACTGTAGTCTATAGAACCAAAGATTTTACATTTTGCATTTGAAAATGTCCCTGACCCTTTCCAAAAAATGCACCAGGTGATAACGCAGAGATGTGAATCTGTATTATAGGAAATCATGGTAAATGGACTGTCGTGCGTTTCTGCAAAATGCAGAACGCAGAGGAAAATGCATAGGTGTGGACCTAGACTAAAGGCTTGCAGACCTTGCAGGTTTCCTTCATTAGAGCACTGCAAGTGCAGTAGCTGATAGATAATTATGAAGTCATTCCCATACAGATTCACTCTGCACATGGACACAGAGAAACAAATAGCTACTTCTTCAGAATAACAAAAGTTATGAATTTGCCACAAAGTTTGTTAAAATCCTTGCAATGTGCATAGATCACCCAGAGGGAAATGTTTTTCTCAACAAAAGGAGAGCTGCTCAATATTTAAAGTGTTACTAAACCCACAACCGTAAAATCAGCCTGTATATGCAGTAAAGCATGCTTGTTATACTCACTGTGGAACCTAAGGGGTTAATCCTCTGCATTGTATAAAAATACTGTTTGATCCTGACTTCTCTGATCCTCCTTTTCCTCCAGTGTCCCCCTCTTATCTCCTGATAAGACATATCGTGTGGAGACACTGCACATACTCAATTTGGTGTGTATTGCTAGAGAGGTTTTTTTTTTCTTGGGAGAGTGCATGTGATCAGCATAGGGCCAATCAGCGCTGCCCAGACAGAGGTCAGAGGTTCTGCATGCTGCCAGAGAAAACTCCTCCTACAAGGTTTAACCAGTGCTCTGCTGAACACTGATAGAAGTCACAAGACTGCTCTAACTGCTGATGAGAACAGGTATTTAGCAGTTTATATTTACTGAAATAATTGCACTTCCATGTGGGAGACCAGATATAGTGAATGAGGAGTCCTGGGTTTAGTAACACTTTAAGCAGCCAAGTGCACATTTAACCCATTTCAAACCGTGCAATTTTACACCTTCCTGCCCAGGCCAGTTTTCACTGAGTCTGTTAATCAATTGAGGTCATACATTTTACCTACATTTTAGAGCTAAAAGAACTTGGGTATGAAAAGGAGTTTACTTTTTATTTTCAAATTTGCAGCACAGATATGAGAGTTGGAAGCGCTCTGGTTGTTACTGGCAACATGTTTTTTTTGTTGTTAGCACACTTTTCCTTTTCATTATCTTAAGGAATACATACATGTGGACAGTCTTACATGCCAAAATATTTCTATTTCTGTTGCATTAGCCTTGTTTTTCACATACTGCTGCCACTCCACATAGCTAGAAGGGTACAGTTTATTTTCTGTTGCAGATTTGCATCTTCCCATCTGTGTATCATATCTCCTCATTAAACTGTTAAAGAGAATAGTCAACGTTCAGATTGTTGAGGGCCTCCCTTAATGTCCCCTTTTGCTTTAAAGTAGTAGTCCTGTCAAGTTTTAAAAACATGCAGTCAAAGATTGCAAGAGAAGAGGTAATATGTTCACTTTTCTTGTAGCCCATGTCTCTCACTTCCCCTCTGTTCAAGTGACATACATTATATGTCCATGAATGTGGGATGCCTGTGTCCCCTTTTTCTTGCTGTGGTTACTTCTTCCAACCCCTACATCACTACAGGAAGCAGCAGTGATGTAGGGTTAGGAGAATGGAGCCACAGTGCACAGTAGGGGAAACAGGTATTTGACACTTCAGGAAGTGTTGCATGCTGAAGAGACAGGCAAAGGCTGCAGTGCTGGAACAGAGGGATTGTAGGAGACATAGGCCCTGCAGAGGTAAATGTAATAGCTCTAACTTGCAAGAGATTTTCACTTGGGTTTTTTTTTTTTGCCACTTTAAACTGCTATAGCACCTCCTTAAGGCTTGTACACTTGTGCCTCACAATAAATAATCTCCCCTGTTTGCCTGGTTTCTGATGCATGAGTTTAAAGGGAGATAATATACAGATATATTTCAGCAAGTGATACGCCTATACCAGAGTTTTAAAATATGTTTAGATTTTTTTCCTTTATACTTACATGGAGTTCTGATTTAATCATTTGCTGTTACTTCCATAGGACAGCGAGTATCACAATTCTCTCCAGTGGATACTAGAAAATGACCCCACTGAATTAGACCTACGGTTCACTGTAGATGAGGAACTTTTTGGACAGGTAATACATTATACCGTTTCTTATTATGTAATTTAAAATTTATTTTATATGGTTAAATGTTTTGAAAATGTATATGATTCACATTTTTGTGATGATTGCAATCTTTTTCTAGACTCATCAACATGATCTTAAGCCTGGTGGAGCCGAGATTGTAGTCACCAACAAAAACAAGAGAGAATATATACAGTGAGTGGCTAAGTGATCTAAGCAATATTATAACTTCTTGGAAGGAGTTCTACACACATCAGTTTACAGGCAGTGTTAATCAATTCAATTGAGTTTTCAGCCTTTCTCTCAATATTGTAAGGGTCCTTTCACATGAGCGGAGCGATTGGGTCTGCCTGTCTGTTTTTCAGATTAACCCAATTGGATCATCCATTGCACTCTATGGCGCATCGGATGAAAACAGACTTGTGTCTGCTTACACCCACCTGCATCCAATCTGCTAAAAGCAGATGAATGAGGATACGTTCCCCATCTGTCTAGCGAATCGGATGACAGTCGGGTGTAAACGGACAGGTGGTCCATTTACAGTCGACTGACGATAGAAGAAAGCGCACTGTGTCCGTGTCCTCTCTGCATAAGCGGAGCAGAAACAGACCTGTCATCCGCCTGCTCAGCGGGGATCAGCGGACAGATCCCTCGCTGACCAGCGGACCTGCTGGTGGAGTCCGCCCTTATGAAAGGGGCCTAAAATGGTCTAAGATGTTGGTGGAAGGCTGCCTTGGTTGACCAACTCTTTTTGCAGCTGAAAGCTGCTTTGGAATCTCTAAAAATTGCTATATATGTCCAGCATAAACTTTCAGGCCTAAACCTGAGAATGTGTTAGTTTAACAGGAAAGGAGATGAGGATTGTAGAGAAGATAGCCAGTGCAGAAACAATGTGCAGTTTGACATGGAATTAGACCTGTGGTTCACCTACTGTATTTCTCTTGAGGATACTGTTAGAGTACCACACACACATTACAGTTCAGTTCTACAATCTCTTTAAATTTACTGAACCATTGATTTGTCCTCATATTACAAAGTAATATGTGGATAAAATCTAAACAATACATTCAGGTGATATTCATTGCACAGACCCTTACATTACATAATTGGTGATGGATCTAAAAGAGATTAACAATCTAAAATAGTAGATAACCAGATTTGTACAATATATGGTCACAGTCATGCACTGCAGCACTAAGTAAAGTGATCAAAAATAATGAGGGGTAGTATATGCTCAGTATAGGTTTTCATACATTTTTATTTTTTTTTTTTTTTTTCAGTTTGGTCATCCAGTGGAGATTCGTGAACAGGGTGCAGAAGCAGATGAGTTCCTTTAAAGAGGTATTGCATTATATCTGCTTATATGGTTACAGAATAGTTATTTTTCTTAATAAAACCTAGTACCTTCTGCTCCATTGCTTCTCAGTGACAACACTTAACTTTCATCTGGTGCCCTGTGACAACTTTGCACTGCATCTAGGCTCCCAACAACCAGATCTGGGGAATTATTTAAGCCCCATATTCCTTCCCAACCACTGTGACCAGAACATACATAACAACTCTTTCTTTTTGCACTTTTATTATTCAAATATGTGACACTACACAGTGAATGTAGTTTTTTTATTTTTATCATTATTATTAGCTTTGTTACTTTAGTTGTTTTTTCTGTTGTACATAGGTTGCAATATATACAGCTGCATTGTCATAATGTTTTGGACTTCCAACGTTCTGTACAATTTGTCTTTAATTATCTGTCATTTTGAAATGCTTTGTATTAACTGCTTGCCACCTTGCCACAGTACATTTACTGCAGCGAGGCGACAGGCCAGGCACGGTCATGCATGTAGTTATTGGACACAGCACGAATTTGGCAGCTGATTTCTGCCAATGATTTCCGCTGATCGGCTGTGTCCAATCACATAGATCAATTGTATAGGGAACAGTGCTCTAGCTGAAAAAACAGCCATATAGTAAAGTAAAAGCAGCACATATTACACACATTACACATTGTTAGGCACACAACCCCTCGATTGCCCCTAGATGTTAACACCTTATCAGCCAGTGTCATTAGTACAGTGACCATGTACAGTATTAGCACTGATCACAGTATTAGTGTCACTATTAATGTCAGGGTCAGTCAGTCAGTGTCTCTCTCAGCCAGTGTTAGCTAGTGGCAGATTGCCCACCACACCGTCACTGTCCCACTATAAGTCGCTGATCACCAACATTACCATTATAGCATCATAGCTGCATAAATTCCGGTATATATACCATAGTTTGTAAACGCTATAACTTTTGTACAAACCAATTAATATACACTTATTTTGATTTTTTTTTTATCAAACACTTGTAGCAGAATACATTTTGGCCTATATTTATGAAGATTTTTTTCTACTTTTTGTGTAGGGAGAACAAAACAAACAGATTGTTCTCTCTGTGCAGAGCCCTGCGTGTTTGTAAACACAGGGCTCTGGGCTGTGATTATACACAGGTGATTAGCAGATCTTGGCCATGAATCATTGGCTGAAACTTGTTGACAAAATCCCTCTGTGTCCAATCACAGCGGGATTTGTCCCGGGAGGGGCGCACACTCCCTGAACCTGGAAGAAGGTGCCAATGTACAGGTACATGATTTGGGGTAATTTATTCATTCATGGTAAGTCAATACAGAGTGAAACTTGACATATATTAGTTGAAAGTTCTGAATTGCCCATATATATTAAAGTGATTGTGAAGGCAAATATTTTTAAATTAAAATAAAAAAGAGGTTATACTTACCTGCTCTATGCAATGGTATTGCACAAAGAGCTCCTTAGCTTCTCTTCTAGAGTCCCACCACCGGCACTGTCCACTTCTCCCAACCTGTGGGTGCCCCCGCAGTCAGCCAAGTGTGGGCAAACTCAGACGTCAAGCTGTGTGTATCCATAGACAGATATTGCGGCTTGGCCACTCCCTCTGCTCCCTTCTCACATAATTTCACTTGACTCCAGCTGCTTTCAGAGTCTCCTGTGAGCCCTGGAAGTGAGGAGAGAAGTGCTGGATCAAGAGAGCAGTTGGGTAAGTGTATGAGGGGGAGGATTAGGAACAAGTAGTGGGTAGTTTTTTACTTTAGTGCATAGACTATATTAATGTGAAAACGTTGACTTTAGAACTACTTTAAAGTAGTTTTAAACCCTCACATATATCCAGTGAGTGCCTGGCCTCAGGGGATACACAGAGATGAAACAAATCCTCCTACATAATTTGTACCTGTTTATCTGCAGCCCTCGCTCCTCTACATCCATTCAAAGTCTCGAATTTATAAAGCTTGTGTGAGCTTGCAGAGGAAGGGGGCACTGAGCTGAAGTTACAATCAATGAGGAGAGCTGAGAGATGATTATAGGGAAGGGACCCCCCCTCCCAACCCCCCTTCACAGCATACAGGAACATAGCTGAAGCTGTCAATCGCAGGCTGTGTTCTGGAGCTCCCTCCCTGTCTTTTTTCTATTTCTTGATGTCGGGAAAAATTGTAAGAACTGACTCATGCAGATAGCAGAGGAACAAGGCAAGAGAGAGAAATGACAATTAGAACTCTTGGTTTAGATAACGTACACACTATAGAGCAGCGCTTCTCAAATAGTGGGGCGCGCCCCTCCGTCAAGGGGGGCGCGTTTGACCTCGGGGAACATACCGTATTTTCCGGCCGTCCCCCCCCCCCCCCCCCCTTCCGACAGAAGGGACACTAAGTACAGGGGTGGGCAGAGGGCTGCTGTCTCTTACCTGGTTCCCACGATGATCCATCCAGGAAGCGCTGCTCCTTCCGTCACTCTGGCCACTCCCTCACTCCTGCTGCTCGGCTCCGCCTCCTCACCGGTGATTGGCAGCCAGAACTGTAGCTCAGGAAAGGTACACAGGCGGCCAATCACGGGCGAGGAGGCGGAGCCGAGCGGACCCGCGAAAATCGAGTGAGGGAAAAGCCGGTAAGTGTGCAGTGCAGAGGTGCTGCTGCAACCACATATGCTGGCTGCTGCAGTACCATACTGCAACAGGGGTCAGCAAGTGTCATTTACAGTCGCGGGGGGGGGGGGGCGCGCGCGCGCGCAAAATGTTTTCTTCTTCCTAGGGGGGGCATGACAGAAAATAATTGAGAAGCACTGCTATAGAGGGATATGCTTTGTTCATATCTCATGTCTGAGGTTTTCAACCAGTTTAAGTGTAAGATGCTGGACTCTAACCTATAATTTACTAGGTTTCTTTCTTTCTTTTTCTTGTTACTTTCATGAAACTAAATTCATACAATTTTTTTTTTTTTTTTCAAAGGGCTTTTTTGAACTGATTCCCCAGGATCTCATTAAAATATTTGATGAGAATGAATTGGAGGTATGGTATTCATCTTGTGTGTATACTTTTTATGATTCCTTTAGAAGTGATGGTCTCTGTTTATTTAACTCTCTGTTTTTCAGCTCCTCATGTGTGGATTGGGAGATGTGGATGTCAACAATTGGAGAGAAAATACAAAGTATAAGAACGCTTACTCTCCTGGACATCAAGTTATACAGTGGTTTTGGAAGGTGCGTGTTATGTTGGTTTATGCAGCATATTTTAAAAAGATATCTTTTGTAGAACATGCTATTTTATTAGCATATTCGTTCTTGTGGTCGTGCAACTCATTGGGGTTGAACCTGGAGAGTGCAAAGTCTGGTGCATGGTAGCCAATCAGCTTCTAACGTCAGCTTGTTCAATTAAAGGATAAGTTCACTTTTCTACAAAAAATAATAAATGCACATTTCATGTGTGTAAAAAATGTGCATTTATTATGTTTTGTAGTAAGAGCCTGTAAAGCACTGCACCAGCAATCGGCAGAATGCTGATGGCATGCAAGTTTCCTGCAGACCTGTCAGTTTTATTTGCTCGCTCGTACATCCCGTACGGGAATGCCAATACAACTGACAGGAAGACTCAATGAACTACCACAGGGCTCACAGCACCTTGGTAGTTCATTGAGAACTACAGCCTTAGTGGCTGTCAGGACTTGTAGTCCATTCATTCACAGAACACCATGAAAGAAAGACGCGGTCATGTGGGTGGAGCCCCATACAGCTGTGCTGTTTTTAAAAAGTGACAGTGCGGGAACTTCTGCCCGTATTGCTGTCACGGGGGGGAGGGAATTGGGCAGCAGCTTCAGGATTGGGAACATGTTACATATTCCACCCTAAAAATGGGTGGTACATGTAACATGTTCCCAAAGGTGAACTTATCCTTTAAGCTTTGGAGACTAACTGTTTTTCTATGTAGATCTGCAGTAGATTTTGCTCTCCAGTTTTAGTAAATCAAGCCCATTGTGTAGCCAGTACTGCAACATTATTAGATAACGTATAAGGTGGTAGCATAACATTCACAATACAAACAGTATTGACCAGTCTACCTTAATGTTTTTTCATTCTGATGCATTTGGCATAGCATAAGCAGGTGGTTCAGTAGACAGGAACATGTGGATACTGGTGAATACACCACAGCCCCTCTGCAGTGTCTCGGCACAAAAACCTAAAGAATGCATATTGAAACAACTGTGAAGGCCATCACTTAAAGTGTCATTAAACCCCTTGGGACACTATTCCTCCCACTGACATTACATGATAATGGGGAACAATCCCTGCCATAGACACCAATGATGGGACACTATTTCTCCCATTGACATCAATGATGGGACACTATTTCTCCCACTGACAACAATGATCGCGCACTATTCCTACCTCTGACACCAACAATAGGCATTATTCCTTCCACTGACACCAACGTTGGGACACTATTCCTCCCATAGACACCATTGATGAGGCACTATTCCTCCCATCGACACTTTTGATGGGGCACTATTCCTCTCACAAATAACTTATGGTGTATGAATACTCTGCCTGTGTCCTGTATTTTACTCCCTAGATATGTAAATTTCTCTTTCTTTAGGGTGTAATAACATTTTAATATTGACCAGGAAGAATTAGGGAGTATTTTCTTTGTTTGAATGGCCACGACTGATATATTGTACTACACCTTCTCTGGGTACAGGGTGTTCAAGCAGCACTCTTTGATCCTTGCAGGATAATGCTAAAAGCCTGTTGTTAAACATTGTAATCATTTTTGACCAAATACATAGCTATCCTCTAGACGCCTGATGCTATGCAGATGTCTGGGATAGAAACCAAAATATTTGTGTTATCATAAAATGATCAGCATAAAAATGCCCTACTATCATGTTCAATAGAAGGCACAAAGTATGACCTGCTGGGACTCTTTTCTGAGAAATAAACAGAGCGGAAACAGATCTTCCATAACTCGATATGAATAATACAGACAGACTCATCTTGAAAAAGGGATGTTCTTTTTTAGAGAAGGGTTGGGTGACATTTCCAAACAGAATCAATGGGAATGAGATATCATTTTCAGAAAAATAAGCACTTGGCAGGAGTCTATTTGGAATTGCATACTGTGTCACTTTGTTGTTGAGGCTTCCATTGGGCTCCTCCATTTGATCTAGAATTTTAATTATGCTATCCTAGAATAAAGATTTTTGTACCTAAAGACCTAACACGGGTGGAGAACAGGTTACAGCCTGCTATGAGCCAGTAATCATATCTTTGTGGTTTTTCATAACGCTTGTATAAGAAGACTTTTTTCAGTTAGATCGGTTTTTTGCTTCCTAGGCTGCAAATGATTTTGATTTATTTGTGATTGTGTCTTGCTTTCATACTTACAGCTGTCTAATTGATTATGGGGTTGTTTTTTGCAGGCAGTGCTAATGATGGATGCTGAGAAGAGAATTCGATTGCTTCAGTTTGTCACTGGTACCTCCAGGGTACCTATGAATGGATTTGCTGAGCTTTATGGTAAGTGTTTCACATTTAGAGATCAAATGGTGCAATCCTTTGGTGTATTCACAAATACATAAAAATCAGTATTGTTTTAATATGAATCCATTTTACTTACAGGTTGTGTGTTTGAGAGTATGAGTATTTGTGTTGCTCATTTAAAGCGGCAGCAAACTCTGCATTTTGATTTTTACCTACAGGTAAGCTTTTAATAAAGCTTACCAGTAGATAAAATGAATATCTCCTAAACGTGCACCATTTAGGAGATATTCTAGTGAGCAGCAGCCGGTGATGCCACCAGTGCATGCGCTCTGAAGGAACGGCATACCCATGCGGTTCCTTCAGAGCTGTGTGCTTTGGCCAAGACTCCCACATGCGCGTGAGTGACGTAATCGCGGCTCGGCAATTCAAGGGGTCACAGCCCCTGAACCCTTAAGGAAAACCGAGTGAAGAAGGTAGCCTCTGGAAGACTTTGTTTCAAGGTAAGTCCTTAACAATGTGCTAGCATGCAATGCATACTAGCACATTATGCCTTTACCTTGAAGGCAGAAAGTTGCTTTTTTTTTCCCCCAAAGTTTACTACCGCTTTAAATTGACAGTATCTGAAAAAAAAAAAGATTTTTTGCTTATTAGACTACCAATAGGTTGGTTTAAGTGGATCTTCCTTGGCTGCAATACACTTGTTTAAGGGCTTAATACATTTCTCAATAAATATTAAGAATAGATACACATATATTCTTATAATGCCCTGTGAAATATAGAATCCAAGAGAGGCAGTTGTATCAATAAATACCAAAGAGTCCAGCTAGATCTTTTGAACTCGCAAACATGTCAAATCCAGGAAAGATATAATGGGTTGAAGTGGAAGTAGGCTATATATGTCACATAAGGTGTTTCCCTGATCACAGTAACCTGGTCCAGAAAAATAGTTATTTACCTCCCATGCACAGTTACCTGTATATTTTTCTTCAATTGTATACACCACGTAGGGAGTCTTTTTACTAGTTGCCTCCATCAATCCTCCATTGAGCACCACTTTTTCTGCATGCTTGAGACCTTTAGGAACAGAATTGTTGGCTTAGTAAAACCTGGTTTATATAGCCACTACTTATAAGCCACATTGAAGCCCCAGTCCTCTACTCTTCCCTGCTCTACCATTCATTAATATCCTGAGGCATGTTCCATTACTTTCTGTACAAACATGGAGGAAGTTATTCTGCGATCCTAGATACTAGTCACAAGTGCTCCACCTACATTACATGCTTAATGCTGTTGTATCAACCACCTTTTCTGGACCTTTTTATAATCCTGCTAAGGTTGGGAGGTTGAGAGATTTGAAAATCAGCAAACATAACAGGAAACCAATTTGTTGGGGTAGATGGACAATTAGACAATTGTATTTGACATTCATTTTGTGCTGAGGTAATTTGTGAGGCTTCTAAAACTACAAGAAACAAGATGGCACACTTTTTACTAAAGTACCACACACAATATATAACTGTCTAGTCACAGTGTATACAATTCTGCCAAAACTCTGAATTTTCCTACCACATTCTGCCACCAAATCAATATATTCAATATATTGCCCTCTAATGTCTACTAGTTTTTCTGTTGTCTTTGACACCTCTGAAAAATTGCAGCCCATCCCTGTTCTACATAATTTGGTGCACTCTTAAAGCAAACCTGTTATTTGTTCATGCAGGGCAATGGATCATTTCCCCCTTCCCAGCTGCGTATACATACCTTTCTTCTGCACACTTACAGCTCTGCTCAGCCACTGGGAGTGAAGAAAGACAGTGATGTATAAGCTTTGATTAGGAGCTCAGGACTCTCCTGGCAGCTGAACAATATGGCGGGAATATGAAAGAACAGTGAGCATATGCTGCTCGGGAGAGAACCATTAACCACTTTGCTACCAGAGACATTTATCTTTTAATCGTACAGTACAGCACACAAGATGGATATTAATGGACTCTGGATTATATGCTGCTACCTTCAGGTGATGAGACACTGGCAAAGCTGTGTCTGATTCTGTCATTCCCACATTGCTCAAAGCTAGAAAAGCCATTTCCAGAAAAAATGTCTATCATACTTGGAAATCCTTCTTTGGCACATTGTCTGTGCATCACATGACCTTCCTACAATCAGAACTTGACTAGAATTTGGCCTTAAGTACTCTGAAGGACAGGTTTCGGCCTTGTCCATCTTGTTTCAAAAGCCTATGGCTTAATTTTCCCTGGTAGAAACTTTTGTTAAAAATGTTTTGCAAATTAGACCTCCCTTACACGGTACCCTTTGCTGCCTTGGGATCCTTATTTTCATTCTCTTTGCCCTGCAGAAACCACCCTTGGAACTTATAGAAGAACTCTCTTTGGATGACATTCCCTGCAAAGTGGCCTTCTTAGTGGCACATTCCTGATCTTTCACAAAGACAAAGTTGTCTTTCGCCCAAGACCTTCCTTTATTCCTAAGGTGGGATCCAACTTCCACCTTATCGAAGACATAGTCTTTCACTTTTGATTTGCCTTTTGTCCCCTGCTCCTAACCACTCCAAAGATTGTTCTTTATTGTCTGGATGTTGTCAGAGCTATCAGAATTTATTTAAAAGCCACAGCTTCTATAAGAAAGACAGATTCTGTCTGTTTTGTCGGGTGTTTGCAAAGGAAATCCTGCTTCAAAATCCAATATTGCCAGGTGGATAAGACAGCCCATCTCAAGAGCTTACACGCTCTTGCTCACTCCACCAAATTGCTTGGTGTCTCCTGGGCATCAAGCCTCTGTTGCCCATCTTTACAATGTTGCCACCTGGCCTTCTCCAAGTTCTACTAAGTTGATGTCCAAGCTACTGCAGACACAGCTTTTAGCTGTGGAGTTCTTACAGCAGCACTCTAAGTTTGGTCAGTTGACCCTAGCTATTGGTGGGCTTGTTGGCAGCGGTTCTGTTTGCCTTGTTGTTGCTCACCCTTCTTATGCATTGCTTGGGGACAGTCCAGGGTCTATTATTATCCAGCCTGTGTCTTGTACTGTACAATTAAGAGAAGCAGAATTTTCTATATCTAGGAGTACATTACAGGACACAGACTATCCCCTCCTCTGTTCCTGTGTAATTCTTCATTGCTTGCTAAAATAAAACTGCACTCTTACAGAGTGTGATAGGGTTATAGGAGTATCCTGAGGGTGTGTGTCCAGCAAAGCTTTGCCTGTGTCTAGGCATCTGAACATACCAACCTTTCAGTGACTATCCTGTGAAGCCGCAAGCTGTCACAGCCTGGTGCCCACAGTTGTGATGCCGGAGAGAGAAGAGGCAGAGAAAGGACGGCGCGGGTGAGCACATCACTGGACCCTGGGACAAGTGAGTGTGTGTTTATTAAAAGTCAACCGTTCCAGGTTTTGTAGCTGGTGATTTTTAATAAACACAAAACTGACTGGAACTCCGCTTTAACTTTTACAATATTTTATACTCTTACTGCAAATGCAGTCCATGCCACACCATTCTTTCCAGGAAACCTTCCAGGAATTAGCCATTTTGTAACTACTGTCTAATACTTACTGCAATGAACCAGGTACTGTATACGACTGCTATGTACTGGGTATTTCATGTTAGGTTTTCAGAGTAGTCTGTAAAATACATGTCTGTCACTAATAAACCCTGTTACATGTTTGATTTAGGCTCAAATGGACCACAGTTGTTTACAGTTGAAAAATGGGGCTCCCCAGAAAAGCTTCCCAGAGCACACACATGGTAAGTTGTCTGTGTCTTTGCTGTCTTGAAATATGTGAGCAGCAGACATTTTCCTGACTCTTTCTTATGTTTTCTTAGCTTTAACCGGTTGGATTTACCTCCGTATGAGACTTTTGAAGACTTGTGGGATAAGTTACACATAGCAATTGAAAATACTCAAGGTTTCGATGGGGTGGATTGAGGATAACTGCACTGAGAAATGTTAAAACATTCTATGTTTACAGCTGAGAATATTGTTTTTCCTGGGGAACCTCTGTAGTGTTATTTTTGCAGTTCTGTTTGGAAATTCAGTTTACTGAAGATTGCGACCAGAAAGATGTACTGTACAGCAAGATCCACTTTGAAACCCTCCTGTGTTTCACCTTATAGTGATATTGGTTTAATTTAACTGTTACCTCTTAGGGTAGACAACTTACATGATTACAAAACTACTGAAGTAAAAAGCTGTGAAAAGTGTTTAACGCATGTGATTGGTTAATGAATTTGTGTCTGTCCCCCTCTGCGTGAGATACAGCCATAGACATAAAACTTTTTCTCCAACTTGGAGATGCTTATCGTAGCCTATTCATATTCGGCCAGAGATATTTTAGCCACTTCAGGACCACATCCGTTTATGCTATTGCTGCATCAGTTTGGTCAACTTTTTGTTTTTGTAGGATATCCTGAATTTGAAGTTATATGGATACATATGGCTTGTGATTATTAGAAATATTATTAAAAGCATCACTTTGCAATCATACTTATTTAGGACAAAATAAAAATATAAAAAATTTTGCAGATTACCTCACAACTAACTTAAAACAAATGTGCTTCAAACAAACCCGCCAAATATTTATTTAGCAAATAATTTTTCTTATAAAATTTAAAACATGTTTCGCACTTCAAATGTTTTGATTGCCCAAAATGCACATTAAACTGATATACTGTATGTACATCGTTTAAACAATTATTGTAATAGTCTAAAAATGCACAAGAAAAAAATAAATGCACTTACAACAGTGGATATATGTAAACCCTAACATGACATTAGGTTTGCTAAAGCATTGTTTACTATTAACAAATCCCATGGTATTTGTTTCATAAAATTCTCTTTCATTCATTTTATTTATATTTTTTGTATCTCCGTGATGTGGATTTCCTGCAACCTCAGTCACTTTCTGTCTACATGCGCCAATATCTGTTGCACGTCGTTACACTGTACTGGCTTCTTGTTAGTGACCTTAGTGGAACATGGCTGCACAATGTGGGTCAGCTGACCAATGGTAGTCCCAACCAGGTGTCTGTCTGACACAGTGAGAATTCAGGATCACAATTGGGAAACAATTGTCTCCCAATCAAAGACACAAAATGGTGGCCTTGCTTACCCATAAGGAGATGGGATTAAAATTCCCCCTATCTGACATAGAGGAAAAAATCCAGTCACTTTCAGTCAACTGTTATTGAAAGAGTTGACAGAATTCTGTTGATCGTCCAAACTTAGGAGTACTAGATTGCTTATACTTTAGCGATTACTTGCAATCATATGTGTAATTCTCAGTGGATGGAAAGTGTTTAAAAGTGCCTGAAATATGTATGACTTGCTTAAGGGGTGTTGTCACAATGACACACCCCATTTCTTCTGAATTTTAATGTTGTAAAAAGGACAGTGTTCCCTGTGGCTGCAAAAGTAGCCTGGACCTGATTAGTTTTGAGAGTTAGATCTCCATTTAGGCTAACAAATTAGAAGATATACACATGTACAGAGGTCCTGAAGTTGTTAAAAAGTCAACACTTTAAAAAAAAAAAAAAAAAAAAAAACTTTTCACAAGTTAATAATGCACTAGCTCTTCTGACCAGTCCATGTTTTGGTTCATATTTTGGTGTCAGATATGCCTATATGAATATGGTTTAGGAGAGGTCTGCAGGTGTGGGAATCCTGTATTTGCATGTATTCATGAAGTATGAATGTGCAGTGTACGTTTTTCTTTATTTTGGTAAAAAAAAAGGCTGCATTAATGTCCAAACACTCTTTTGTAGCAGATGGCTGATGTACATGTAACCCCAAGGGTGTGTACATTCATGCTGTCTTTGCAGCAAGGTGCACTACATTGCACTGACAAACTAAAAAAATCTGTAGATTGAATCCCCCTCCTTAACACGTATCATACTTTGGAACCACAGGAGGTTAAAGCATGAATTTAAACAGATGATGTGCAAAGCTGGTATTCCACAAACTCCCTTTACTGTGTTTAAAAAAGAAAAAAAAAGCTAAATATATATATATTTTTAGGATATTTTTCTATCACTCTAAATACAGTTCTTTAACATTCTTGTGTGTAATTTGTCATTTTTCCATTTCATTACAAACATCCTCAGTATATCTGCCTTTAAATTTTAGTCTCCATCCCCAATTATTCCTAATATTACATGTTTTTATTTCATAAGCAGTGCTGCCCCACATTACATTATTCCTATTTTCTTCTCTTTTTCCGTTTTTGTAAGAATTGTGTCCTGTGTTTGTTGGAACCTAGAATGACATTTGCTCAGGCTAGAAAGCTGTTATATTTTTTTCCTGTGTTGTATGAAATATGTTCACACAACTGTAAATGAAATCTGTGTTCTAGTTGAGGAGGAGCAAGATGTGGTAGTATTTTGACAGCTTACTTAGCGTGTACATGAAATCTTGCAACCTTGCACAGTTTTACAGTATAGATTTGTTTACAGACTTTTTATACGTTTACAGTTATTCTAGTTCTCGTATGTATATGTGTGTATATATATATTTATATATACATATACATACCCAGTCTTTAGCCTAGTTACCAAATAATGTGTTATAATACTAAGTAACCAAAGTCATTTTGTAATGTGAGTAGTCTATGTTCACTTTGTCGCTCAGTGTGTTGGTGTTATTTTTCTACACTTAAATTATTTTACTTTGTGGAACCTTGCAATTTGTTTTTCCTTTGCTAATCTAATTACAATTTCCATTTTTGTGTTAAAAAAGAAACTTTAAATCTTCACTGATATTTTTTTTTTTTTTTTTTTTTTGGACCTTCACTATAGAGAAAGCCATTTTGTGAGTTAGACAAGACATAGCTTCACGTGTGACCACACTTGCTAATATGACTAAATCTGGCCATAAAGAGAGAGAGGTTTGTACAACAAAGTTCTGACATGTTCACACAGTAATCGGCCCGTGTGCTTGCCGGGACAATTTGTAATAGGTAAGTTTAGAACACCATATATAATGTAGAATAAACTTCCCGAATTTTTCTCCTTGTGACACTCTATAAGACTCTAGATCCAAAACTTCGGTCTGGGACTAGCTCAGTTGTAACAGCATTGGAATCTAAATAATAAGTGTTTAGTTAATGTACGTGTGTAGCCTTACCCTTTAGGGACTTATATTATTTAGCTTCATATGCCTTTGCTGAGTTTGATGCCGTACCTGGACTGTTAGGGACAGTGCCTGTGGACTACTTGGTCTCGCTCACTGCACACACAGGAGACAGTACTTAAGATGAGGTAGTCACCATGCCAGCAACTATCAGACCTCAGATGACCTCTGACCTCTGCCAAGTCAGCAGTAGCTGATCCGAAATATTTCTATCCTGATTTGTTCCTTTGCATGCCATGCAGACTAAATACATACAGACCACAAAATGGCTTTCTCTCTTAAAGCAGAACTATACTTGCCTAAACTCCAGCGATGCGGCGTTCCAGGAGCTCAATGCCCGGACACTAATCTCTTCGGGCATCTGGCTTCTGGGTCTCTATTGCCATGCCACTGTCATTGGCTGGGTGGGGATGACGTAAGTCCTGCACATGCGCAGTAGTTCAGGTAGATTTGGCATTACCGAATTTGTACAGTTAGCTGTGCATGCGCGGCTCCCTGTACAGGGACAGACAGGCAGGTCTCTTCTGCATTAAAAATCCTGCTTGTCTGCCCATTTTCGTTATCTAGCCTAAAGTTCAACTTTAAGTGCTAGTGGCAGGTCCAGAGTAACACTTCAGGAACTTAAGACACTTTACTTTTTAAAATCCTTTATACAAGCTTTTGCTTGTGATTGTATATTGTGTCCTGATGTATTTATGCAAACTTGAATTGGGGCTGATATGTTTCTATGCAGTACAGAAAAAAAAATATGCAATTGTCATATACGCAATGCAGTGATGATCACTGGACTTTCGATTTAAAACAAAATAACAAAAATCAGTACATAGGGACTACTGCAGTAGCCTGGAAAGGAGATGTTGGCTATCTACTTTTCCACCAGTATGGCTTTCTTGACTCTAATGACCAGTGAGATAAACCCAGCTGCTTATTTTTGGTGACTATATACTGTATTGCTGCTTCTAACACCACTGCTATTCTAGGAGCCTGCAACGTATTTACAGCAATACAAAGCGGAGCATATGCTCAATGAGGGGGTGAAGCACCTTATGTCTTGATGGAAAGCACAGAAAACAGAATTTTTCTTGAAAGATTTTTTTAATATCCCATTGAAAATGTTGTTGATGTATATGACTGCAACTTTATTCCTTAAAAGTGTTACTTTGTAAATAATTTATATCAAGATAATTGTTTTACAACACGGTGAGATATTTTGTACAATGGCATTGAAGTAGAGAAGCAAAAGTATCATTTCAAATGTTGGCATATTTGTTTAATAATTTTTAATCTGAAATGCTAACACACAGTAATAATCCTTAAGAAGTAAATAAACAGATTCATTATTAAGCAATTCTCTGTTTGGTTTAATTATGTTTGTTGATTACAGTACTTTTTGTTCGTGTAAAGGGAAAGTGTGAATGGAACAACATTTGCCACTTATCAAGATAAACTGAGATAAAGTGGTTTTTATGGTAACATTGATTTTCCTGCACACAGCTGATGTCATGAGCAGAAGCTACAACCTTTACAGTGATGGGCCATACGCAGAGAATGGAGAACAGGGCTCTTGTTGTTTGAAAACACTTAAAATACCTTTTAGGCTTCACACACCCCTCCACGCAAAATATATGATTTTGGGTGGCCACCAATTATCCCCTTGCTATTTCCGGAGCTGAAGATTGTCTTGCAGTAACTGCTGCTCTTCTCAAGTCCCAAGGTTGGAGGTGCACAATCATTCAAAATGTCTTTGCATGCTGCAGCATTAAGAGTATCCTTTACTGCAAACATCTGAACTCATTTAGAGG